TATATAATATAATGAATAGAAGTGATGAGTGAAGACAAACGCATACGTGTTATTATATTGTATTATGTACTGTCCATTTAATATATTGATATAAAACACACATGATACATCTATACAATACCGCAGAAAATCCAATAGAGACATGCAAGTCGAACGCGTGTTGGTATTGCAAATAAAAGATGCAGGAGATCTTGTACCGCATGCAACTTAAACGTGGATGCAGTCTACTCGCTTTCTGTGTCATTATATTAATATAACTGTTTATGTTAGTTTTTGTTGGATATTATTTTATTGATACCGAGGTGTGTCAGGTTCATTTGAATTTATATACCTGTCAGTTCAATAAACTCGTGGTTGCGCTTCATATTACTTATACTTGAATATTTCAATCTCTATTTAAATATAAATATAAATAATTCCTATTTCATTTCATTAATAGTCAATCAGATAACTTTCGGTGTTATCTTTCTTTAAATCAGTTACTTTCAACATTTTTATTTTTTACTATTCAAATATTATTTTACTTCTTTCTGTATTCAAAATATATTAATTATTATTGATTTTAAGTAAATAGAATATAAATCTTCAAAAAGGTGTGGAATTTACTTAAAAGTCGTCATTTTTACTTCATTAAAATTTACTGTTATTTTAAATTCAATGATTTAAATAAAATTTATTGATGAATAAATTGATTTTTTTACGAAAAATTATTTTATTAAAAATTAGAATATAAAAAAAGTACCAAATTTTGATTTTATAAAATTTTTATAATTCAATTTGCATAAAAAAAAAAAATAAAATGTAGTTTTTTGAATTACAAAAAAAATTATAGTTTATTCTGATAAAATAATAAGTTGATTTTTTTTTAATTTTTAACAAAAAATTGTTTTATTAAAAATTTAAAATTTTTACAATTTAATTTGCATAAAAAAGTAAAATGTAGTTTTTTGAATTACAAAAAAAATTATGATTTATTCTACGATCCGGAAACGAAAAAAAAAAACATCCGCTGCGGCATTCTGTATTGAAACTTTTTGCATCCACCTATTTCACCACGCTTCTTCAATATACTTATTCAATTTATTCATAAAAATAGTATTTGATTGAAATTATTTTTCTGATCTTCCATCGCTGGTGCGTCAATCTCCAAAGCAATTTCCTTTGCAATAACATAATTTTATATATAATATATCAAACCTCGAAGAAACAAACATTCTTTCATCTTACAATTGCAAATTGAGTCACATTTATATTTATAAATTATTTATCATAAAAAGCGTCGTTATTAAACCGACAAATGAACAAATGCTACTGTTTAGAAACAAATCATTAAAGATAACATTTATTTATATACCTTGATTTAAAAAAATATTTAATGGGTTAGTTGGAAGCAATTATTTCCATCAGGCGAAATAAAAAGTTTGCATTATCTATTGTGTTTGTAATAACACTGACAATGATAATGATAATGAAATCGAATAAAAATAACATTGTTGCTGAAGCAATGAGTTACGCAAGTAGGGAAATGACGCATTATATATGTCGACCACATAATCTCTTTTCTCTGGTTCACCTTTGCTAGGACGGTCGATGCTCTTCAAGGTCAAGGTGAAGGTTTCTCGAGCGAGACGCGTTGGTATGGTGTCTTGTCTGGGGTTTTTATTTTCAATAAAACAAACAACTTTTTTCAATCAAGCCGTATATTTTTTTATACAAGTATGTAATTTTATTTGGATAAAATTGAAATCAATTGAAAAATAAAGCCTGATATTTTTTTTAGGCTACTTGTAGGAAAATATTTTGAAAAATTGCATTTTGTTATTATTCAGCTTGTACTTTAATTTAAAAAGTAATTTTCATGAAATTTAGTACAATACTAGAAATTTGAATAGCGCGCTATGCGCGCGCCTAAATTGTAACCAATAATGAATCGTGGCCCGTTTTTTTGCGAGTTTCGACCTTTGACTAACTTCAAGACTATCATGTATTTTAATTTAAAGGATGTAGTGAGTGTGATCAACAGAGATAAAAGCGATCGATAGACTTATTTTTTATTATCACATAAAAGAGGAAGGTGAATTTTAATACCGAGAACCGCGAACTAGCTAGTGTATATATATATATATATATATATATATATTATATACTATAAGCGTGCGATGTATGCTATTATATATATGTGCGTGTTTGACTCACTGACTGCATTGCTAACCGGCTATTTTGGCGCCCAGTTTTCAGAGCACCGGCAGCATTCCTTCGACGAAACGCTAAGTAAAAATTGCCTCAAGCTGTTTAGTTCTGAAGGAATTGAGATTCTGATTCTTTGAGTACAAACTTTATTTTAGAGAAGATAATGGATCTTGTAAATTTATAAATTTACTTTTATTATTCAAATTTTCATTAGATAAATAAAATTATTAAAAAATTTGCAATTTTCTTTGAGAAAAAGTGAATTTTCTCCATTTTTATACTAGCAATAATAATAATTTGAATAAATAATAGTCGATTTATAATAAGTAATGATCAACTGGAAAAAATTATCATTTCAAACAGTAAAATCGTCAATTTAACAATCACTCTATAATAATTATCATTTAAATGCTACAATTTATTATTTACATGGAAGAAAATACTATTTCAAACAGTAATATTTGCTATGTGAAATTCGAAAATGTTAAAGTATAATAATTAAGAATTTTGACTTTGATATTTATCATTTCGAACCTAAAAAATGATCGCATGATATGTAAAAAATATAAACTACAGTTACTAAATTTCTATACAAGCAACGTCAATATTTACAAAATAAAATGGTAAATTTTAAACGCAACGCTAAAAATCAAACTATAATTATTAGTTTGCTTGGACTGGTAAAATATATATTTTAAAAGTAGAATTTTTACTGTTTCAAATGTTAAATTCTCCGAGCGTGAGACCTTCCCCCTTCTCCTCATAGTATAGACTAAATATTGAAACGGCAATTTTTACTGTTTGAATCTGTAATTTTTTAAGATGAGAGAGTCGTTATTTACTATAGTAACAGCTACTAATCACATTTTCGATATTAAATTATAAATTGTGACTTTTACACTTTCTACATTAAGTTCTGTAATATTTATATTTGTACCACCCCGATGTCCGCTGTACTGTTTGAAACTATAAAAATTAACCAAAATCCGAGTGAATTTTAAAGTTTACTTTTTTCCGTGTAAATAAATAAATTTATTAAAATAGAATAAGAAGATTAGAAAATTCGCTTAAATATTTGATTTCGATTACTTTCTATAAAAAGAAACATTAAAAATTAACTTAAACGCATTTGAAGATTACGCTTGAATGCTCGAGGGGACGACTGAATTTTTTTTCATGAATTTTTTATCCAATCACCCTTCAATGCTCTGCTCAAGGGGATTCTATTCATTTATTGCAAAAGTACACAAAGTTTATTTTTGATCAATAAGAAATTTGAAAACAACTAAAATAATAAAAATTAAGTGTAAAAAAATATAAATTATACTCAATACATCAGCATAAATATGTGACTTTTATTCATAATTATTTATTTACCTTGAGAATAATTTTACGAGCAAAAATCCGATAACGAAAAGATAAACTGTCGCCAGTGCTTAATGCTAGATAAAATTATTTTAATAAATTGCTGGTTGTGGTAAAGTAGCCTATTAAATCTATTTATTAATTTCTGTGGTATCAATTTATTAAAAAGATGAATCGTCAATAGACTCATCAAGTGTATTAATAACTTTTACTTTTATTTTCCCAAACATTGAGTAATGATATTGTTATTAAGACGATAGAGTTGCGCGTATTTGATATTTACTTTAATAATAAGAATAAGAAGTATATTGAATTGAATTACATGTAAGTGAATAATAGTGACCTCAAGTGTCGCATGTTTAGACAGTGCCGCTTTAATGCTTTTCAAAAATAACGACATAAATAACTGAACCGCTTTTGTGGAATACTTCTGTAAATTTTTGAAGGAAGCGATTAATAATAGTAACAGATATTATTACTTCCTTTATTTATTTATTCATCACACAATTAGGTCATGATCGGTATGTACAAATATTGTGAAGGATAATGTATAGTAAAGCAATACACGTTGACATTCTGATTAGAAAATTGTCTTTTAATGAAAAATCTATGTTATTAAGAGAATAAAAAAAATTTTGTGTCCAGGATAGTCATATGATAAAATCGGTTTTTTTAGTGAAATTTAGTGTCATTGTAAATATCGTGACTTGAATTTGTGCTTTTTCAAGGTTTCATATCATTCTCACCGATAGTCAGTTTATTATGATAAGTATTTAGGCTGCATTCGAAAATGCTTTATCTGTAGATACATAAGTTAGAAATGACGAATGTTGTGTATCTTGTGAAATATTGACATTTTTAAAGATATAAGCTCATCCTGGTGTTACACTCATCGAGACCTTTCATATGAGTACCCACATCAATTTTTCATATATTTTATATATTTATATATATGTATATATGAAAAATATATCAAAATGCATGTGGGTACTCAAATGAAAGCTCTTGATGAGTGTAACATCGAGATGAACTTATATCTTTAAAAACATCAATATTTAAGAAAGTATACAGTATAATTTAACAAGAGTCATTATTTAATAAATCAAAATTTTATTTATTTATAGTTCACACTATATAGGTCACACATAGTGACTGCAAGGTTGCTAGTATTAATTAATTTTCTTAAAAAATTATATGAAAAAAAATTGAAAAATTACAGTTTGAATTCTTACAAACTTGGTAAAAAATACATTTCAAATTTGTAAAAATGAATACTTGGGATTTTATTTTGTAAAAATGTTACTTAAATATAATTTTTCAGGTTTTTTGTTAGTAGCCTCTGTTACTACTACAGAAACTGTAATTTTTAATTGCTTTGTTTTCCGTACTTAAAAAAAAATACTCATATTTTATAAAAATGTCGACATGTTACACTTTTGTTATTATTAATAATACATCGCGCTAGGATTTTTAACTCGACCTGCAAAGATAATAAACTCGTCGCTGGCGATAACTACCATGAATGGATGATTGACTTCAAAATGGACATTTCCTCGATGTTTCGTCTCTGTTGGCTGAAAGTTATGGACGGCTGAAAAATAAATTTTATTGTACTGATATCTGATTTTGCATTTGGTTAGTTATTAAAAAAAAATTACAAGTAAAAATACCTGTTGTAGTGGAAGCTTCACTGCCTTCCTCGTCAACTTCGATGAAAGTTTTCTGTAAAACTTGGTCAACTTTCAGGGATCCATTCTTTGAAATACCCGAAAAATCGGCCGTGTCGTCAAACATTGAACCAATCCCGATATCTTTGAGTGCTTGATTCAGGTTCACAGTAGTCTCGATTTTAAACTTAGGCATATAGAATTCAACTCGGTACAAAGCTTTGTCGTTGTGAATGGCAGTGAAGTTTATTTTGTGGAAGTTATCTTCTAGCTTTTGCAAACCATTTTTTTGAATTGGTACAATTATGTACATGTTCAAATTTTCTCTGCTACTGCTAGTCTAAAATAAGAATATCGTAAATAGTTATTATTGTATTTTTATCGATTAAGTATAAATATAATAATTTTTTCTTATTTAATGATTTTTTATTTTAGTTTTTTACGACCGAAAAATTTACCAGCTTAAAAATTTATTTTTAAAGTTATGACATCACGGAAATTTTCGGTGTTTTTTTTTATTTATTTATTTGTTTTAAGTCGCATAAACTACTAAGGTCATGATCGACTACTGTAGGAAGTAAACTTTTTGTGATTAGACTCGTTTTATTTTTGGGCTGAGCAGAATAATACACTTAAATATTGAAAAATATTCATTGGTGTACACCGGGCTCGATCTATGTCCAATGCTTTGGTGGGCAAGACCCGGTCCGATAGGCTATTGCGCGCCTTCGGTAATGTAGTAATTTTTCTGATTATGAGAATAAAAAAAAAACTTACCCTAAATGGTAATCTGATATATTCGGCATCACAGTTAGGAATTCTATTGAAATTGAATAAATTGTTCACAAGCATCATTGGAATTTGTTTGTGTGTTCTACCATTGATATGAAACGGCCGTAATATAGTGTCACCTTGAAATTTGTGGACCCACATCGCTTTGAAATACATAGCGTTGATAACTAGCAATTTTGTGTTGTAAAGAGAAGCTAGGCGTACAAACAAATTTAATTAATTTTAAAAAAATAATTTCGTTTAATTCTAATTATTCACGGAAAAAAATTGTATGGGAAAATTATACAGAATAATAATTATGTAAAACTATTCTATATACTGATAAAGAATTCAACTTGCCTCAAGAGCAAGAATCTTGAACCAAGACCACCATTTTCTTCCAAATGGTATTCTTGATTCAAGATTCTTGCTCTTGAGTCAAGTTAAATTTTTTATCAGAGTATATGGGTGATTCTCTGTAAGGATGTTTTTTGCTGTCTCAGGCATTTTTTTATTAGAAAAATTGTTATTTTGTTACTAAAAAAAATTTATTATGAAAGTAAAAAGACATTTCTATTTGGAGCATTGAAAACTAAAATGAAATAAATTTTGGTTTTTTTGCTATCAATTCGTAAACCACTGAAATAACAGTCCCCTGGTTTGGTCCATAATGTTTATAAACTTAATTAGTTAGCTAACAATCTTCTTCAATAAAAAGTACCGAAAATTAATTTGTTTCATTAAATTCATTAAACCAAAGTTTGTCCCAGGTATTTCAAGAACAGTCCCCTGCCAGAAGTTCAAAGCCAAAAAAAAATCCAGCGTATTATTTTACCTTTTGTAAGGTTCATAAGGACCTAACTAGCCTTGAGTTAATAACCATAGGGCTGTTAGCGCTTTATCGCCATTTTATTTAGTGTCGAAGCACCGTTTGTGCTGGAAATGTGTCTGGGCCATTTCAAAACTCAGTCCCCTGGCAACTATTTTTATTTATAATTTATTTATAAAATTGGATCCATAAGTCTTGATATAATTCTAATTAATGTAAACATTTATTGAGAACTTGAAAATTTGAATGCATTGAAATAGTTTGCTTGATTTTTCTCAATTTTCAGACGTTCCAAGAGAGTGGCTGCCATGCAGAAATAATAACATCACATTTAAAATTCCCAATTTTTCAACTGCTTCTTATGAACATTCATTTTTAATCTCTTCAATACGCCTTTGGCGTGAATTACCACCTGATGTCATCAATGCACTTAGTATTGACACCTTCAAGACAATGGCGAAAAATACACAAATATCGAAAAAGCAAAAATTATATCGGCTGTTTATTTATTATGATTAAGCTGATAGTTTTGTAGCCCTCGTTAATTTTTTTTCTAATAAAATCAAAAATAATCTGGTCGGACAATTTTGTACAGATTTAAGACGTCGTTATAGAGAATCACCCATATAAATAATTGCATAAGAGTTTTAGTCACATAAAAATTTTCTAATTAATTGAGTAAAAATGAAATTTTTCTGTAATTTTGACAGGACTTTTTTTTCCGCGTTAACATCTTTTGTTATTTTAAAAAATCGATGTTATTAAAAATAAAAAATGGTTACCTTCTGAAACAAGTGTACTGATACGGCCATTAGTAATTATTCGTGACCAGCTATTTATTTGATGACTCGCCAATGCAGGGTCTGTGAAATCTACATTAGTAATTCCTGACCCGTACATTTTAATAGCTGTTTTGTATTCAGGCAATACTTTGAAATTATTGTCGATGAACAATTGGTTGAAGAAATTCACATTACCCTTCATTGTAATCTTCAAAATAAATTGATCGGCTTATATTATTCAACTGTAATTTGAAAAACATTTTTAAACTCACCTCAGATGAATTGACTTCATATTTATCAAGAGTTTTACTGTCGGGAACGTCGATTAATGCGATACGTATGTCTTCTAATGCTTGCCCGTGAGCTCCAATTGCTAAAGTCGATAATGCAATATGAGCACTTAGTGGTGAGTAGACAAAATTACCAGGAGTATCTTTGGCCAAAGCCTATCAATTGTTTAAAAATTTGATATTTTTGTTATTATTATCATTATTAGTGTAATAAATAATTGATATTTTAACATTTACCTGGTAAAACATAGTAGCGAAATGATTTTCTACATATTCATACTCGCGATAGCTAATAATTACTTCATTGTCTGCGGTAGGGATTATTGTATCTGAGTCTACAGTTATAATTATTGCGGCCAATACAATTAGATCTGAATGAATATAATTATTTATTTATTACATTTAATAAGTATAATTTTTGTAATTATAAAATAAACTTACGGATTGCCATGTTTAGTTGAGACTTATCATTCATAAGGAAACTTAATGAAGTTCTCATGTAAAAAGTGCGTAATATATAGCTCAATTTTATCAAAAATAAATAGATTGTTTGACACCAATTCGTGATTGGTAAGAAACACACATCAGTGTACACATAAAAGTAAATAAAAATTTTATAATCGATTGAAGACCGGATGTAAGTCTTTTTTATTATCAGTATAAGTACACTTGTCTTCATAAAATTAACTTCTACGCAATAAAAATTGAAAGCAATTAATCAACAAGGATAGGTGAAATATTTATTTTAAGAGCTATAATTTTAGATTAAGTGTATTTCTAAGTAATGATTTTTTTAATTTCTTTTAATAACTAAACATTTGAAAGCTTTAGGGAACAATACAGACAATAATCAGGCCGTTGTATTTAATTTTAAATTTAAATAATTCAATTAGAGAGTTGAGTAATACCTGATCTCATAACTTGAAATATTTATTTGCATAATAATTGTTTTAAAATTTATGATAGATAATGATTTATTTATTTTTTTCTGTTTTAGGTAAGTGTTTTGTCATTAAAGTTGGATATTTTTGTTTTTCTAAATGTTGCCGGTGAATTTTAAAAATCGCATCGAGTGGGTGAGTCAAAGACATTTTGATACCGAAATAAGTAATGAAATTGTTTATTTAAAAATTAGAGCGATTAATAAATTAATCACGGATTCGCTCGCTAGCGTGCTGAGAGATAAATTTATTCATCACGAATAAAAACATCCTTGGAATTTGGTAAAAATTCTTACTTTATATTATTGAATATTGTAGTGTATAAATGTGAATTTTATTTATTAAATGAATGAAATTTATATTGTACTAAATTAATTAACGTAACAAAGTAAATTCATAATTGAATTTGTGGAGCATACAAACAACACATGTATTGAATATCGATAAACAGCGATTTTATTTAAATAAAACTTTGATCAATATTCAAATAACATTTTCATCTATACTAAATTAAATAATAATCAAAGGAAGAAAGCTGAATAAGCGTTTTATTAAACACAAGTTAATTTTTCCCCTCAGCAAATAAATTTGTCTCTTAGTATGCTCGAGTAAAAAAGATTAACAAAAAACTAGAAACAATATTACAAATAAGTTTAATTACTATTAATTCACCGGGGAACAATACCAGCAGGTAGTCGTGATACAGTCGCACTTGCTAGGCCTCGACTATCTTGAAAGCGTCTCTGAGCTCCGTTATTAAACACACGTAATCTTTCATGCCGATGATTCTTGGTGCGTAAGATGCCCCATCATCGATCTGGTGTTCCTCGATTTTAAAATAATAAAAATAGCTGTGTATTCACGGTATCGGTTACATACTATGTATGGTAAATCCATAAAGGTATATTATAATTTTAATTAAATTCAAGTCAAACAGTCTTGAGTAGGTGGAATAGAACGTGAGAGAACCGTAACATAACAACGTAACCCATGCATACACTATATTTATTACATATCTTATTTTGTTTTTTTAAATTAGACTCACTATTAGCCAGATATTATTAGTCTTAATTACAACATGACATTATAAAATTTAAATTAACGTCGGGTCATTAATGCGTGCATTGAAAAGTTGCATTCCCGTATCAGTCGCCACTATTGCGCAGATAAAAGGTTTGTCGACTGTAATTGATGGTGTGTCTAGTATCAGACAGTACTGAACCGCTATCAAAGCTGCAACATAAAATTCAAATCAAAAACTCATTATTTTTCATGTAATAAATTATTTCATTAACTTACATATTCAATATTTACGTTATAATTATTCACAGTCTGATTCGCGATGGCTAATTTATCTTTTTATCTGATTTCATAATAATTACAGAGATTTATTTTATTATTTTTTATTTCGCAGTAATAACTTCTTGTCACAATACAATTTATTAACAATTAAAAATAAATAATAAATAAAGTTAGGTGATAATGAAAAGAATTTTTTTCAACGGATAGTTGATAGATATTTATAGTTATTTACAAAAATTAATCATTACAAACAGTGAAGTTTTGTGAGATTAAAAAAAAAGCTAAAATAATAATAAAGTTTTCATTCAGTGACTGAAATAAAATGAAAATGAAAAGCCGTGAATGAATTAAGCTTGAATAGGATCGACGACACGGGCGTTGAAAAGTTGTGCTCCAGTTTGAGTGGCCACAATAGCACAAATAAATGGTCTATCCACGGTGAAATCAACTGACATCGGTAAACTGCATCTCATCATTAACATAGCTCCAACAAAAATAACAATACACGATTATTTACGAGAAAATGATTCAATGATGATCAAAACAATCATTCACAAATTTTACTACACATAGAAAAAACAAAAATACATTCAAGAAAGTGAAACTTACCAGTTACTGCTGCAGCTTCACTGCCTTCTTCATTAACTTCAATAAATGCTTTCTGAATAACTTTACTGACTTTCAATCGTTCAGAATCGGTGATGTTTCCAAAATCGGCTGAATTTTCAAAGATTTCCTTCACTCCCATCTAAAATAATCAATTTAAGTAAACGAATTTTTAATAATTAGGACATTAGGAGTCATTTTTAAAATTCTAATCTTACTCCTGCGACTAAAAAGTATATACCTTAACAAGAGTGTCTTGAAGCTGGAATTCACTTTCGATTTTAAATTTCGGAAGCCTTAGCTCAACTTCTATGCGAGCGCGATCCCTGTGAAGATCTTTGAAGTTTATCTCATGCAAATGTCTCTCACATGCCTTCAGACCATTCATTTCAGTCGGCAAGATAATGAACATACTGATTGAATCGCTGGAATCAGTGCTCTGAAAAACAAAGAGTCTAATTAAGTTAGCTAAAATAGAAACATTAAAGACTCAGAATAAAAAATAGATACCTCATAAGGAAGCTCAACATAAGTAGCTTCAAACTCTGGAATATGGCCGAAATTATAGTGTGCTTTCCTGTACATCATCGGCACTTGTTTGGTAGTATTTTCGTCGACATAGAACGGCATGGGTTCCGTTAGCTCAGGATCGAACTTTTGCTTCCAATTCCCTTTGAAATAGACCGCGTTGATCAAAACGAGTCTCGTGTCTCCGTCCAGGTCATCTGGAACGTGTTTTATTATATTATATAAAGTAATAAATTAAATTATCAAGATTTATAACATACAACAGTATATATTCTAAAGTAACGAGTCATATCTTTCAATCAGCAGCGTTATCGGAAACACAATACCCGTAGCAGAATTACGTGTTCATTTTTAGTTCAATACAAGTAAAGAATTATCGCATATTTCGCTTCTGATCACATCCGCTGATGTAATCTACTTGTGAGATTTAGGAATAATAATTCTATAGAAGTACTTGCCTGGTTTTATGACATCTTTGATGCGATTATTAGTCTTTTCTTCACACCAAGCATTAATAGTCCCAGCGGCTTTTGCAGATTTTCCAAAATCGATAACTTCCGACACAGATCGGAATGTTTTTTCCGTCAGCTCTTTAAATTCTGTCTTCACGTCGAATCCTACATTGAAGTAAATTTTGTTGGCCAAACGAAGCTCCACTTTTTTGACAGCCTGTCAAGACAGCTCAATCAAGTACTTGCAAAGATAGCTGACAAAAGTCATTAAAAAAACTTACATTCAGAGTGTCAACAAGCGATTGAAAGCCGTTCTTGTTAACTTGATCGTCATCGGATAATCTCAAGGCATTTCTCAGTTCTTTCTCGGTGTTTCCGCGAGCCCCATAGGTGACCATCGATAACACCATCGACACACTGACCGGCGAGCAGATGAAGTTTGAACTTTCATCTCTTGCCAATGCCTAAATTTAGTATTACAAGTTATTGTTAATTGTTATCATCTTTTCCAATGTTGTTTATCTGTAGTTACAATTATAAATTATTATTTTCAAAATTAGGTAAATACCTGGTAAAAATTGGTCGAAAATTTATCGAGACTTGTTGCTACAGTGTGTAAAGCCTCGTTCACAGGTGTAGTCATCGTGGATGGATTTCTGTCGTGAATAAATGCTCAACGTAAACTGTGGTATTCTAGTTAAACGTAGACCCGCGATCGATTGAATAGAAGGTCTCTCTGCGAGTAAATGCGACGAACTGGCGCCTTTTCGTGAGTATAGCGAAGACAACGCCTGCTACTAGACTATTGCGCGATGACGCAAAGTCACGTGATGGTTATTTTTTTTTTTTATGTTTATTTGTATTCCCGGTTATGCTCACTGGACTTTTTGCTAAAATATTAATCTTCGAGATACCGTGTAATCTTTTAATTTTAATCTTGTTTATCGTTAAATTAATTTCAAAAGTATATTTAATAAAAAAGTTCGTAGGAAATTTTCACAATAATTCTCTTAATTTAGCTCAGTCATTTATTTTTATTTATTTTACCTGCTGCTAACTTAAGCGGGTTATTTCATTGTTTTTTAAACATTTTATATATATATATATATCAATTATTTACGGAAAATTATAAGCAGAGTTACATATTCAACAACACTAAATAAATACAATGGTTATTTTTATCACATGAGTAATAAAATCTAGATCTACGGATTTCCGTGTTGAATCATCGATGTAATTATCGTGTACTTTTAAAGCTAAATTACTCCACATAAGGTTTTAGATATATACTTTATTTATTTATTTTATTTTTTTTTATGAATGAGTCTTCGTCGTCTGAAGGTTAGTCAATACAGAGGTCAATGACTCGCGCGCAATGTTGTGTAATTATTCAGAAATAGTTTAAAAGCTTATGTTAGATTGAAGCTAAGCCGTGAATTATTAATCGTCAGTCTTAATTTATCCAGCAGTCGGATCGATGATACGGGCATTGAAAAGTGGTGTCCCAGTTTCTGTGGCGACTATTACACACACAAATGGTCTGTTTACGATGAACGGTGTGGGTTCCATCAAGCATCCTTTCTTTGGCATTATCACTGCTACTTAAAAAATAAAAGATTTTTGTAAATTTGATTAAATATTTAATTTGATGGATTTACATTTAAATAACAATAGCTTGGTAGCCTTTAAATCTATAATTTAGCTATGAGTAATATTATAATTTAAATGTCAAGTTTAATAATTTCAATTATTGGAGAGAAATGTTGGTTCATTAAATTTTCCGTAAGTCTATCTAGTTTTTAATTTTATGATTTAGTTGAAGTCGAATTTCAATTCAATTAAATATAAATATTATAGCCAAAAAGAAAAAAATTATAAAAAAATGAAATGCTAAACATGTACGTAGGAAAAAAATTGAATAGTTTCAAAGCGCCTAGCAGCTAATTTTAATGAACGCAAAAATTTACCAGTTACTGAAGCGGCTACACTTCCTATTTCGTCAACTTCTAAAATAGTTTTTTGTATCACTTTACTGACGCTCAATTGTGATGACTCGGAAATTCCACTAAAGTTTGCAGACGGTTCAAAAATTCCGTTCAAACCCAACTAATGAAAATAAAAAAAAATTACGTTAAAAAAATATTTTCTTCAAACTTCTCCTATGAAAAAAAAATATATGTCGAAATATATAAAATATATATATGAAAATTGGCCAAAAGTTAGTTATTAAAAATATATTTACTATACATAATTTATATATTTTTTATGTATTTCGACATAAATTTTTTTTTATATTTTTTTTTCATGGGGGTTGAATTATTAATTAAAAAAAAAATTATTTACTTTTGTCAAAATATTTTTTAAATTTAACGTGCTCTCGACTTTGAACCTAGGAAGTTGTAATTCGCACTCTTTCATATGCTCTCCAGCATTTTCATGTAAATCCTTGAAGTTAACATCATGTAAATTGACCTCGATTTTATTAGCACCATTGACCTCATTGGGTAAGATAATAAACATCGTGACAGGATGGTTTCCATCACTGCTCTATCGACAAGCATAAATATCAATAACAATGAAAAATAGTATACTGATTGAAATTGTTTATCAAAACAATGAATACTTTATAAAAAAGCTCGATAATTTTAGCGTCAAGATCAGGCAGCTCGTTGTAGTTATATCTGGCTTCTTTCCGCATCATCGGCACGTCCTTAACAGTATTCTCATCAATATGAAACGGCTCGGGTTCTGTATACTTAGGATTAAATTTCCACTTCCACTCGCCTCTAAAGTACACCGCATTTATCAGAACGATTTGCGAGTCGCATAAATCAGCTGGGAAAATTAATTCATTTTCCATTGCATAAGACTATCCATTATTGAAGGCTTTCAAGAAGATCTATTAATAAATTGATAAGAATAACTTGCCTGGTTTAACAACGTCTTTTATGAAATTATCAGTCTTTTCTCCACACCAACTATTAATAGTCTCAGCCGCTTCTGCAGATTTTCCAAAATCGATAATTTCCGACACAGATCGGAATATTTTTTCCGTCAGCTCTTTAAATTCTGTCTTTACGTCGAATCCTACATTGAAGTAAATTTTGTTGGCCAAACGAAGCTCCACTTTCTCGACAGCCTGTCAAGACAGCTCAACCAAGTAATTGCAGAAATAGCCAACAAAAATCATTAAAAAAACTTACATTCAGAGTATCAACAAGCGATTGAAAGCCGTTCTTGTTAACTTGATCGTCATCGGATAATCTCAAGGCATTTCTCAGTTCTTTCTCGGTGTTTCCGCGAGCCCCATAGGTGACCATCGATAACACCATCGACACACTGATCGGCGAGCAGATGAAGTTTGAACTTTCATCTCTTGCTAATGCCTAAATTTAGTATTACAAGTTATTATTAATTGTTATCATCTTTTCCAATGTTGTTTACTTGTAGTTACTATTATAAATTATTATTTTTAAAATTAGGTAAATACCTTGTAAAAATTGGTCGTAAACTGATTGATACTAGAAGCTACGGTATGCAGAGCTTTATTCTCCTCAGACATCTTACAAACTTGTCTGTTTAAAATGCAAAGTTAACCGCAAATTGGCGTATTCATACAGGAAGCGAGTGGATGCTTACAGCTGCAATAGGGATGACGTAATGTCACGTGGGATGCACGCATGTGTTGTTTTTAGATTTTTATTGACTACACTCGCGTCTTGTTTACCCTCAAAGCATAAATCAACTATCATTGCTCATTTCATTATACAAAATATTTATTTTTCTAGCATTTACATTATTATAATTACAGAATGTACAGTTGAATATAAATAAATCGTTATTTATATCGTTTTTTCATTGGTTTACTTTGATGGATCAACCACGTGGCCTTGGAAAAGTATTGTATTCGTTGGAGTATGGACAATCTTGACGATAAACGGCCTGTTGAGGACTATGCGTGAAGAATATCCTCCAGATGTCATTTTTCCAACCAGTCCTTGAATAAAATTTTGTTTCAATTAGTTCTTCAATAACTTTCAACAATTTGCTCATTTTTTTACTCACCAGTAGAAGCTTCAGCTTCCCTTCCAGCTTCATCGACCTCAATAACAGCTTTCTGCACCGCTTTAGTGATCTTCATAAATTTGTCAGTGATTCCGCTGAAATCGGTACGATCACGAAACATTCTCCGCATTCCCATCATATCCAAAATTGGTTGAAGGTCAATCGTGCTCGCGATTTTGAATTTAGGCATGTAGAGCTCTATGTTGTCCTCATGAGCTTTGAAATGAAGTTTTCGGTAGTCTATATACCCTAAAGTTTGTTCGGTTTTCTCCAGGCCGTCTTTTATCGGTAGAATTACAAACATACTCAGAGAATGGCCGGGATTTCTAGTCTGTTTCACAATCATTAGTTTTTTTGTTAATAGAGTGTTTGGAAGTAAATGATAGTAAAAATAGTATAATTTGTCATACATCATAAGGAAGTTCGACGTAAATAGCCTTTCCTTCAGGGAGAAGTCCATAATTAAACCTACTTTGTTGGTACATCATTGGGACGTACGTGTAAGTTTTTGAATTAGTGAAAAATTGTTCCAAACTGGTGTGTTCAGTTTTAAACGGCGACTTCCAAGATCCTTTGAAATAGGCTGCATTTACGAGGACCGAAAAGCCTTTTTTGATGTCTTCTATTTTTTGGGGAATCATAATAAAAATTTCAAGTTCAAAAGTTTAATAAATGTATAGTATAGTAAAAACATGACTGATAGAATACCAGGTTGAACGATATCTTTGATCAGGTTTTTGGTGAATCTTTTGCACCAGTTATTGATATATTCAGCTGAATACTCGGGATCTTCGAAGTAAAGTCTTCTTATAGGCGACTTAAATACGTTTTTGGCCATATTACTAAATTCTCGATGGACTTTGAAGTGATAGTCGATAAACAACCCTTGCGCTAACTTGAGATTGACCTTTTTCATTTTCTGTTTAACAAAAATTTTTCATTAAGCGCCAGCTATTACTAATCCTTATCGTTAGTTAGTTGCTAGTTCTTACATGCAATGTCGTGATAAGTGACAGGAAACCCTTTTGCCCAAGCTTATCGTCTACTGGCAAATGTAAATTAGACTTCATTTCATATTCCGTGGCACCCCGGGCGCCATAAGCTGCCATTGATAATGCAATGCCTGTACTCAAGGGTGAACTTATCAGGTTATTCTTATGTAATTTAGCCGTTTTCTAAAGTTGGAATTTAAATGTGTGTAAAAATAATCGTGTTTTTTGTTAGAGGGGTTAATAATGTTTCTACCTTGTACAATTCTACCGCGAATTGGTTCATCCCTTTAGTTGTTTGATAAAGGGCATTTTGTCTTCGTCTCGAAACAGCTTTTGCTGACGTGCAAGCCAAAATTGCTCCAAAAATAAACCATGCTTCTAAAAAATTAATTTTTTGAGTAACTACGAAATATTTTGAGATTAACTTTAATCTATTCAGGTTTCAAAATTTTTTAAATATAAAATCAAAAGTTATTTATGAAATGAATTAGCGTTTTTGTACTTAATCGTAGAAATTAAAAATATTTTTTACTTACTGAAGTCCATGGTGTTGACGAGGACACAGATGACATAATGACGGCGGAAGCTGTTTAAATACTAAAATGATCTCGGATAAATTCACCGTAACGTAAATGATCTTGAACTGTTAATTAAAACCCAAATAACAGTATAACATTTTCTACACCATTAATTAAAAATAATATAAAGATTGTATTATTAAATCAGAATTTTATTGAAGATATTAATCTGTACATATTTATTTTTTAATAAGACATTGATGTGACGATTGATCAAACAAAAGATAAATCTTAAAGTTACATAACCAATGTATACATATTTTTGTCAATGAAATAAAGTCTTTTTTTCATTAATTTCAATGCTGTGGTATGCAAATTACAATAAAATCATTTTAAAATTTAAAATGTATTAAGTTTCAGCTTGATTTAAAGAACCAAGCTAGCATTCCCACTATTTAAATTTAAATTATTCTAATTAGTCATTTGAATTCTAAATTAGTGTCTCATCAACCCAATTTATAATTCATAATTGTAATAATTGAAACAATAATAAAAATTATCACTCAATCCTTCATTGGCGACTTAACGTGTCCTTGAAGTAAAATACTATTTGTAGCGTTGTGATAAATAACAAAAACAAAAGGACGATTTACATCAACAGTGATCGGTATCGTGTGCCAACTCCTTGATGACTCAAAAAGCACATTATTATCTGAAAAATACGTAAAACAATAATGCATGATAAATTATATCATTGAGCGATTCAAAGTCCAGTTTATAACAAATATGCATGATAGTAGAATAAAATAGAAGCAGAAGTAATGCAATGAAAGTTAATGCAATCCAGACAAATTTATTTCCAGACAAAAAAAATAATTACCAGTAGTAGTTGCCGCCTCAGTACCATGTTCATGAACTTCTATCAAAGCCTTTTGGATTATTTTACTGATCTTAAGTGGTTGACGCTCGGAAATGCCCGAGAAATTAGCGTCATCACGAAACATATTACTCATTTCCATTTTTTCAAGAAACGGTTCAAGGTTCAGGTTACTTTCAACTTTGAACTTTGGCATGTGCAAGTATATTTCAGTCTTTAAGTGATGGTCTACCAGCGATGCAAAGTTTATCTGATCTAGATTATCTTCAACTTTGCTGAGACCTCCGATTTGATTTGGTAAAATTACAAACATGCTTGTCGCGTCTTCTCTGTGATGTTTCTGTTAATTTTTTAAAATTATTATCATTAATTTCTTCAAAATAAGAAAATCTGGAGTTTAAAAATTTTTTTGATTTCTTTCTCACCTCATAAGGAAGTTCAATATATATGGCATCCAAATCTGGCAAAGGTCCATAATTGAAGGAATTAAGCTGGTACATAGTGTCGACATGCTTTGTGGTTTTTTCATCAATATTAAACAGCCTAGGTCGGGTGTTTTCAGAATCGAATTTTAGTAACCATGGACCACTAAAATAAGCGACACTTGCCAAAATCATTATTGCGTCATTTATGTCATCTGTATGAATCAAAAATAATTATAGAAGACATTATTACTATACTCACTTATAAACCGCTTAGCTTAACTTAAATTTAACAAAACAGTTTATAAATATCAAATTTATGAATGATAACCTACGAGAATCGATTATCCGAGTGATAGCATCGTTGGTTTTTTTTCCACACCACTTATTGATCGCTTTAACCACCTCCGATGAGTGCTTAAAATTCACGTGTCTAGTCGATGACCCAAAGACGTTCTTGGTAGTTTGCTTGAAGTCGTGTCTAACTTCATAACTTTCTGAGACGAAAACTTTTTGACCCAAGACAAGTCTTACTTTTTCCATTTTCTACATAAGAGACAAAAGTTTGTCATGCGATAGATCGGATATTATGATGAACCTTAAACCTATAAAATGGAATATAATCTTACGCTGAAAGTATCAACAAGCTTCTCAAATCCATTTTTGTTAGCTTCTTTATCTTCAGGCAGATGTAGACCAGATATCAGCTGTTGTTCTGTTGTCTCGTTTGCCCCATAAGCTGCCATAGATAACATGATTCCGATACTTAGAGGCGAATAAATTATATTATCTTGGTCATAACCTGATATCGTCTGATTATATGATTAAAAATCATATTCATTAGTGTGTATTATAAAAAAAAAATTTTTTTTTATACTTACCTTGTGAAAATCGGTTGAAAATTTTCTTATTCCGCACAAAACCGCGTGCATGTTTTTGACTTCCTGGCGATCTTCGGCCATTTTTTCGGGATGCGTTCGCTGTTTTTGTTGAAGGATTCCCAGAGCTAATTTATTCAATTAAATTTTATTTTTGACATTAAGTAAATTTAGATTTGACTTCCGTAAAAAATAATTTTATAATCATACAATCAAATTTATATGCGTATGTCTGTTTGTTTTTAAATTAAACGTTATCTTATGTTATCAATTATTAATATCTTTTCGACAAATGAGAAAACAATTTTTTAAACCCAAAAATGTAATAATAATAATAAACTAATGGTCGTAAAATGATAAATTGATTAAAATTTGTAGTCTTTATCAATTAAATTAATAAAATTGTAAATTTTATTGTCAAAGCTACTCACCACTTATTTGTAGTCTAATTTTTTTTTTTTTTTTTTAGAAAATTTATAACTATCTTTGATATCATTAAGGATCGAGAATGCATCAAAACTTGAGTACTTTATTGAGGAAATTTATTTAATTAATTAACAAAAAAGTTATAAGAAACATAGCCTAAACATTTTTACTAACCAAAATTTAAAAAAGTCTGATAGAACTAATCGGACTTTGAACTGTTTTCAAGTAAAATATGTTTTATATAAATAAACTCATACAAAAAATTAAATGTCATATAATAAAAAAATAAACTTTAATAAAAAATTCTCACGGACCCATTATCGTTCAATTAACGATATGAAGTTAGTATTTATCGAGAATCATAAAATAGCAAGTCTTGAATTGAAGGTAATTCACTTAGGTAATCAATAATACAAATGACGTGTGTACTTACTAGTATTTTACTGAACAAATGTATTAACTCAATTACTGTTAGTTAGTATCAATTATGATCACTTGTATTTATTATTATTGGTCTTATTTTCGACAAAGTGTCAAAGAAAAGTGACTTTGTCTGCAACTGTCTCACTGCACGAAGAGTAAGTAACAACTATTGTCGAGCTACTGAGAGAATCGCTTTGAATTGATGGTGGGGCAATACGGTTCGTGCGCTAACTCAATAGATGCTCGTGTTAGTATTAGTGTTAGATATAATAGCGCTAAGTCATGCCATAGTATATGTATATATGTTGATAGTATGAACTTGCAGTGCGTATTGACATTTTTATATCATGGATATTTCTACAATTGTTAGAATTCCTGCCTTATCTTAGTCTATGGAGGCCAACAACGCAGAAAACGATAATACCAACCGGGTATTGTATTTTTCGTTTGTTTTTTATTAAGGATTAGAATAATATATGTATAACATTCTGAAGGCAATACTGTTGTAATGTAGAATTCGAAAAACCGGTTTTAGAATTTTTTAACGTAGGTTTATGTTACTTTATCAATGCACACGAATTGTGTTAAATTATCGCTAAATTTGTATGAAAAAAAAGTAATTAATTCAAACTCTTGTTAAATTTGACGAAAAATTTTTTACTGTGTACGTTTAACATAATTGTTTATATTTGAATAAAAATTGAACAATTACGGGTAATAACACATTAAATATTTTCTCTTTGTCTCTCTTTTTCCAAAGCGACCTAGCATGAGTAAATTTATGATGTAAATCAAATGAGACTTTTTATTTGACATTTGACACTTACAGCATTGACAAAAATACTTTAAAAATTATATTAAATTAGAAATTTAAATTGCGCACGCGGCTTAATTTCAACCAATAAGAAATGTGGCCATATTTATCCGATAATCGATATATTTCTCTACCAACTAACTTCAATTCAATCACCATGAATTTTATATTAGAAGAATATTAATAGTAAGATATTGAAAGTTTAAATAGAAGCGGGGTGTGAATATTTGTTCAGTGGCACGGACTATGCACACACTATGTCTGTGTTCGTGTGTGTAAGTATGAAGCCTCAGCAAGGATATTATATAGTCTGTGCATAGTCCTGCGTCCCGTGCCATCGGACGAACATTCACATCCCCGTTCCAATACTAGTTCGTCGTTAGTGTAACAAATAAACCTATTTATTTAAAAATTCTCAGCCTTAATAACTCAGTTTTCACTGTTCTATTGACAAGTATTTACTCTACAAATATTTAATAGTTACCTACTACACAACTGACACAATAATGCGTGGTGGTGAACACTCTATGGTTACGCCGGAATCCATGCGCTGGAAAATTTTTTGTGCGCCTGCGTACGTTTTTATTCATCAAGTTCGGGTGACTGCTCGCTGTTTCCGATAATATTACTGCAGCATCGTGCTATTATATAAGTCTGCTTATTATCTCTCTACCCGCTAGCCAAATTTTGGTAAAAATTTTTCAATTCTTTCCGAGCACTAATAATTAATTTTCTGATTAACTTCTGTTAGGGTCGTCAAAATTCACAACTTAAACTTCTGATGGGAAGTTATTCCTAAGACTATTTCTTAAGGTAGTACGGTTACGATAGCAATATTTTAAAAAATCTTCGAAACTTTGAATGAAAGTCATTAAATACATAATTCGTCAAATAAGTGAATATTCACTTAACTTAAGTGCCAATCGAGCCACTTTTTCAAGTCAGTGGCTCGGTTCTCACTTAAATAAGTGAATATTCACTTATTCATGTTTAGAGAGTAACAGTAAACATTCGGTGATTCCACTGGGACTCATACGCTTGAAAGTTTTTAGTACGCATGCGTATGTTTTGCACGCCTCATAGCGCGAAGCGCGTGAGGTTGTGCTTTATACTCGACTCGTCAAGATCCAAGCAATTTTGTGATCTTTAAATGCCTCTATCACAACCATATTACATTTATAGAATAATATAAGTAGATGTACACCGAAAAAACACTTAAATGAAACCATCTTTTACTTTCTAAAATCATTTCATGTTGCTATTTTGAAAAAAAAAAAGCGTTTTGAAAATAATTTTACGTGGACGTCCGGATGTCACCCCATTTTGGATGTACCAACGATTACTCCCGAACAAATTGATATTTCAAGATCGGACCTTTTTTATTAGTTTAAGAATTCGATTAAGTGGGTCCGTATTATCATAACAGTAGCCTAGTTTATGTATTTTTTTTTTTAATTGAAATTTTATTAAAGTTCACTACGATACAATCGTACAAAGCCAAACGAACTTTTCTTATTTGTCACGTGAAAACTATGGCGCCACTTGAACAAGCTAGATTTTTTTAGACTGCGAGGGCATGACAAGAAAAAAAGGCGCTGATATTTAAAAAAAAATAAAAAATACTCTGTAAGAAATTACTTCATTATAATTTTTTTTTAATCAATTACACAATTAATTTTTTTCTTAAAAAATGAATGAGCGTTATGAGGCGTGCACTTTTGGATTTTCCAAACTTTATTTATTTTATTCATTGGATTCGTGCGACTCTTCCCGAGTCGAAAAGTTTCAGCATTACTCTGAACTGAATAAGCTGCTTAGTCAACGTTTGAAAAAAATAAAAAGCGGCTATTTATTGCTTATACCTAATTCTACTGCGTACCTACAATGCTATTCATTCACCTTTAATTTATATCGGCTCTAATAATCATTTTTTTAATTTGCAAAAGAGGTGATAACGAAATTATATCGCCAGTTTTAGAATCTCAATAAAATATTTTATAGAAATATAATTTTTTATTTTTAAAGAAAAAATGTATCATGTTATAAAATGTTCTATAAATTTAATAATCGCAGAGAATTGATTTTATAAAAATTTTTAATTGATAAATAAGGTAATATATATAATTTTTAAAGTAAATGGCTTAAGATTTATCAATTATCTAGGTGGTTTATGGTTTATAAAATCAATTATTTTTTAAATTAACAATCAGCTAAAATAGTACCCTCTAAATTAAAATAAATGAAATAAAAATAAGTGTGAAGTTAACTAAGTATCGAATTATCGCAAAAATATGGTCCCCGATTCCTTATTAGTTGAAAAATCAAGGGGCGCAAAGCGCGCAATTTTTATTCCTGGTATTATTTATAAAGAATTTACACTTTTTAAAGTAGCCTATAACTCCGAAAAATTTTTAATTTTTTTATTTTCCATATTTTCATTTTCTGTGCCCCTGAGCATCTTCATATTCTACTGTAGGTATTTATGGAGACATTTTTAATTTTTTAAAAATTAAAATAAAATTATTTTGCATATTCCAAAATTTTTTAAAGCAAATAATCAAAATTCGAAACCAGATTAAAATTATATTTTTCAAAGTTTTTATTGGAAACATATTTCTCATTACAACAATACTTTGCAATAATGTTCTTTAATTCATGGAAGGCAAATTAACATGACCTTGGAACAAAACAGTATTAGTATCACTGTGATGAATAGCGTATATAAAAGGTCGATTAATTTCAACAGCAATCGGTTCTGGGTACTCTATCCAGGCAGACATGGGAACTGCAACAATAGCTGAAAAAAAATATTTTTAATTTTCAAGTTTGAGGATTAAAAATTTGATTCTTTCCAATCAACATTCTTTATTTTCGTAAAATCAGTAAAAAATATATGTATTTTATAATCTAATTTATCTCAAATAAAATTAGAAAACCGGGTCGGAAATATGTCCTTGGAACAGAACAGCATTCGCTGAAGAATGGACAATCGTATAGATAAAGGGTCTGTCAATCATCACTGTTATCGGTGTAGGGTGTGGAATTTTAGACGATCTAAATGATATCACCCCCGCTAGAATAAAAGATACTTTTGCTGACACCAGCCGAGCTAGATACTTCAATAATATAATAAAATAATCACCTGTAACTGCCGCAGCTTCGCTTCCTTCTTCATTTACTTCAATGAATGCCTTTTGAATTACTTTGCTCACTTTTAAGGGCGGAGAATCTGTTATACCCGTGAAATCAGCGCTGTCTGAAAATATATCAGTCATTCCCATCTTCTCCAAAATCGACTGGAGCTGAAGCGTGCTCTCAATTTTGAATTTAGGCATATACAAGTGCATATCAGTCATTCTTTGATTGTCATGGATGCTTTTGAAGTTAACGGTGTGCAAAGATTTTTCAGATTTTGAAAGACCATTAACATCGTTTGGCAGAATTATAAACATACTGATCGCATCATTTTCATCTTCTTTCTAAAAATTCAAATGGATTAGGCCAATTGAAAAGAAATCGGTCAATAGAAATGTACCTCGTATGGAAGTTCTACAAAAATCGCATCAAGTTCAGGCAGTTCTCCATAGTTGAACGAGTGTCTTTGATGCATCATGTCAACGTCCTGGGTGGATTTTTCATCGACATGGAACGGCTTACGTAAAGTTTGCTCGCCTTTAAACTTTGACAGCCAGTTACCTTTGAAATAAACTGCGTTTAGCAAAATCATAGCAGCTCCATTCAAGTCATCTGTAAATGTTTGAATATTTTTTATAAATTTTACTGATTGATTGATTTTTTAACGATTCAATTTTCCACAGGCTGCTGACCTGGTTGGATGATCTCTTTAATTCTGGTATTTGTTTGTTCTTCGCACCATTTATTTATCGTTTGTGAGGACTCGACAGCTTTAGTAAAATCTAAACTTTGTGCAGTTGATCGGAAGTTGTTTTCGGTTATGCCTTTGAAATCAGGTTTCATTTCGAAGCCGGTAGTTGTGAAAATTTTTTGCGCTAGTTTTAGCTGAACTTTTTTTACACTCTATAATATCAAAAAAATCTATAAGAAGTACTTTTTACAAGTATAATGAAATCTTAATTTTAAATAAGTAGATGAATTTATTTAAATAATTTGATTTAATAATTCCATAAGAAAATTACAATGAAAAAATAATTCTATATTATGTATTAATGTCCATTAAAATTCTGAGGAAATTTTTTTTAAACTAAAAAAATAGTATACTTACATTGAGGGTATCAATAAGCGACTGAAAACCGCTTTTACCAACAGCGTCGTTCTCAGGCATACGTAAACTCGTTCGCATTTGTTTTTCCGTGTTTCCACGAGCGCCGTACGCTGCCATAGACAATACAATGCCAGCACTTAGCGGTGAGCAGATAAGATTATCTTTTGTGCTTTCCGATGACGTCTGAGTGAATTAAATAATTATCAAATTAATATTCAAAATAGTAATCGTATTAAATACTCTTTGCTAAAAAGAATCAATCAAATGTTTTTACAAACTGCATTCCATAAAAAGATTACATTATTATACTTACTTTGTAAAAATCTCCCGAAAATTGGTTCATCCCACCGGAAACTGCTCTTAAATTTTCTTCATTTTCCGTCGATGCCAACGAGTTTTCGCAGTTTAACACTGTCAATATTAAAACTGATCCTATCAGCCATTTCGTTTCTACAATGAATTATTTACTTATCAATTATACACATTATCACGATTTTTATCAAATATCATTAATTGCTTGATATTTGACGTAAATGTGCGAAAATACAAGTGTACTTACGGTGAATCATTTTTATTTAAAAAGTATGAAATACTCGATGATCTACGTTGGCCGCGATACGAATTGCGAATGATAACGTACAAAAATGCCGTCGTTATTTAAAGGCTGATTACAATGAAATTCCCCTCTTTCTTCACTTAAATATTTCTGAACTGGATATAAAAGCACTTAAAAATAATAGCACTTGAAAAAATCTTTTATTAGTCTTAATGTTGAGAGGCCATAGGCGAGTAAGTTATCGCTGATAACGTATGTTTATGTTATGATTTTCTTACTAATGATCCCAACGAGCTTCTCTTAATTATCAACTGTTTATAGCGTAATTGTTGGTTATTCAACATACTATTTTTTTATACTAATACAACATTGTACACACTACTCTCTAAAAATGAATCAGTGAAATTTCACTGTTTCACAGTTATAAGTATACCAAGTGGTATACTTATAACTGTAAAATAGTGAATTTACTACTAATTTCCAGTGATTTTCACTGTTTCAGATTTAGAGAGTATGTATACTGAGTTAGTCATCTGGGTTTTTCTATCTCGTTTGTCAAATTACATTATGTAATTTATTGTCATGTACATCGGTATTGTTTTTCCCCGTTTTTCATTATCAAATAATTTATTTACTGACAATCAATATAAACATAATGTATAAACGTTTCTTGGTAAAAACATTATTTTATTTTTACTTCTTCTTTAGGCTGATTGTCGCTATATGGATGGAAATAGCAATGATTGCTTATCAGCCATATTGGAAGGATTAATAATTCTTGGAAAAATATTTTTATTATTAATTAAAACATTGAATATTTAATACTATTGTAAAATATTCATCTGTGTTTTTCTCTTTTGCTTGTTAGATTACATAATATAATTGACTTTCGTACATCAACGTTATTTTTTTATATTTTTTTATCTCAAATATTTCATTTTGAGTGACACTCGGCATAATATATGATCGTTTCTCAGTACAAATTTTTTTTTTTATTTACTCGTCATTTGCTTTGTATTGATTACTGTCATATGGTTGGAATTAGCAATCAATATTGCTTATCGAGTTTATCATAGAAGAAGGATTGATAATTTAAAATGAAAAATTGTTTTTAAAAAATTGCTAATTATTTATTTTTATGTCTGCAAACATTTATTCAAAGAAATCGAAGTAGATATGTTTTAAAAATCAATTCGACGTTCTAATTAGCAAATTGTCCAACTCTATTTTAGAGAATCTTCCATTTGTACGAAAAAAACAATTAGTTCAAAATTTATAATCACTTTAAAAAACCATTTAATATCATTAAATTAATGTCTAATAGAGATATAATATTTTCGTTTGAATCATTCAAATAATTTATAATTGGACTATTGCTAAATCAAAATGTTAAAAAATCACCCTCTAAAAAATAAGGAGTCAGACAAATTGCTAATTAGACCGTCGAATTTTCACATAAATTCTAGCTTAAGTATTTTAATTATTTAGATGGTGATGTTACATGCCCTTGGAATAGAATAGTATCGGTTTCATGGTGGTAGAGTATAAATGCGAAAGGATGATCAACTTTGACATCGACTGGTGGAGTATGGAAAATTGGTGCTGACATTGCCACTGCCATCATGGCTGAACCAAAAAATAAATTCAGATGTTAACAAAACAGATCAATTTGCAATAAAAAATTAGTGAAAATATTTTACCAGTAACAGCCGCGGCTTCACTTCCCTTCTCGTTAACTTCGATAAATGCTTTTTGGATTACTTTGCTGACCTTCAGTCGCGGGTTTTCGGTAATTCCCGTAAAATCAGCATTATTTGTAAACATGTCAGTCATTCCCAATTTCTCAAGGACATCATTAACATTGATGGTACTTTCTATTTTGAATTTAGGCAACCACAGATTCAGTAACGTTGTATGTTGGTTTTCGAAAAGCTCTTTGATGTTCAGTTTGGGAATTGATTCTTCAGCTTTCTGCAGGCCACCTACCGTATTGGGAAGAATGATAAACATAGTAGTTGAATCGCTCTCTGTACTTGACTGAAAAAATCAAATATTGTTAATTATATCCATACATTTTTTGAACATAGTGCGTAAAAATTTAACGTGTAAAAATAAATACAATGTAAGGAAGCTCCACATAAATAGCGTCAAGTTCAGGAAGAGTTCCATAATTGAAGCGTTTTTGTTGGTACATCGTGTCGACATCTTTTGTCGTTTTTTCATCGACATTGAAAGGCTTAGATTGAGACATATGAGATTTAAAAGGTGAAACCCAATCTCCTTTAAAGTACAATGCGTTAACCAAAACCAGACTTGCATCTTGAACATCGTCTAAAATGGTTCAAAAATATAATAGTCATGCTTCCAATATGCCAATCTGTAATATCGATGCATTTTAATTTTTACCTGGATTAACGACGTGTTTGATACAATTGTTAGTTTTTTCAGCAGACCAATTGTTGATAGTTGCTGCAGCTTCAGCCCCTTTACTGAAATCCACAGTCTCTGCAGTTGATTGAAAATCTTTTTCAGTAATATCTTTGAAATCAGGTTTCAGTTCGATACCTTTTTCCAAAAATATTTTATTGGCTAATTTAAGCTCTACCGCTTTCACGTTCTACAACAGAAAATAATACTTGGAGTAATAATTACCACAAGATTGATGACAAGATTACTCACAGCAAAAGTATCAATTAGTGTTCGATAGCCGTTTCTACCAGCTGAATCGTCTTCGGGTAGGTGTAAACTTGCTCGCATTTGCTTACCCGTATTTCCTCGAGCTCCGTACGCAGCCATTGCTAAAATCGTGTTCGCGCTCATTGGTGAGCATATAAGATTATCTGATCCATCATTTGCTTTCTAAATAATTTCATTTCATTAGAATTAATCACAAATTTACTACTTTAGTAAAACAAAAATCTATTTAAGAAAATACTTGATAGAAATCTTGAGAAAATTGTTTTATTCCTTGGAATAAATTGCTCGAAGCTTCTTGGGTTTCAGGAACTGAAGCTGTCAAAATATTTCCAAAATTGTGAGCTACCAGAATGGCTCCAACAAACCAAGTAATATCTAGAATAATTTATTGTTAAATAAATAATTTTCTAAGATTCTTGTTCGAAGTAAATTTTGTTACTTACAGTAACCCATCGCAGTAAATATCGCAATGTAATCACCGTGTTCTAAGCAAGTCGGAGCACAACCGCTGAATAATTACTGAATTACTGAAGCCGCTATCTTAGCTTTTAAAGACTGAGTTTTTATTAGGAATTTCCCCTTCTTTTTGTCGCCACTTTTTAATAATTTTTAATACATTTGTTTTTTTCCTAATTTATATAATTTATTATGATACTTCAAAGACGTAAGATCAATAAAGTTATCAACATAATGATTTAAATACAATATCTGTATTTGTGTCAACTATCATTTGTATCATTAGCGTCAGTGTCAAGAGATAGTCTCTATTACATAAGTCTCTACATATACATGAGAGGATTTATGGTGTTATGTAAAGAAATTTTTTCTTTACATATTTATTAATTATAAAAAATCGAGAATAATTTTATTTAAATTTTAACAATTGTAAAAGATAATTCGAGTGTGGTTATTAAGTGTCTCGTTCGATCTTTGCAAAAGGCCCAGGGGAATTTCGGTAATTAGTCTGGAGCCCAGGTATATTAAAGAGATTAAATAGATAAATGAGAGTTTTGTTATACGTAAGCAAACTCACTTATACTTAAAATATAAAATATTTAAGTAATGATAAAGAACATAAGATAAAATATTTATTTTAAACCGAAAGATTTTAAAGTAACTTAATGACAAAAATTTAGTGTTGAGAAAAATATCGAAATAAATTTTAATAATGAACTTTCTGAAATAATTTTTAGACAATAAAATTCAATATGAAATGAAAAACAAATAAAAAAAAATAGAACTTGAAAGTTAAATAATTGAAAATAAACAAATATTAAACAATTAAATTCTAAAATAATACAACAAATTTATAAAACGACAAAACAGAAATATTTCTACAAATAAATAATTTAAATTCAAGAAAACGTAAAAGATGCTAGATTCAAGTATATAATTATTCATACGATTTTAATAAATAAATTAATGTAGACAGTACAAATGTATGTCTTTGTCTATGCGTAAATGCGCTTACGTATACACAAACACATAGATGAATAATAGAACATAAGAGTAAGTGAGAAAATATGTTGCACTCAGACCCAAGTAGAGGGACTCATGCAACATTTTTAAACAAATTTAAGAGAGAGGGTAAGGGCCCGAGAAAATAGACAAATAATTGGACATTTGTTTCCCCCAATGAATGAAAATTAGTAACGCCCTAAAATTCGACACCTTGCAATTGTCACCAAAAAATCTCTCTCGTTGTCCTGACGTCCTAGTGTTAACATCGTACATAGTTTAAATAAGTCTCAATAGACCACGTGTAAATCTATTGTATAAAAAGTAAAACATTTGTAAAGGTAAAGTAAAATCGTAAAGTGAAACCAACTAAAATAAATTAAATCAACAAGGTTCATCAATTTTTTATCAGGTATATTTTAAATTATTAATATTGGTGAATTATTAATATTTGTGAATTTGGTAATATTGTAAAATCGTTATATGAAAGAAAAGTTAACTTCAATCACTGTGTAATAATTGTAACTATTGTAAATTAACTAATGATATTAATTTTGGATTTAAACAATATATGTATTAAAATTATTCAACTTGGAGCGGGTGGTTTATTTCCCGTACTTATTGGCCCTGAATAAAATTAATAATTAACAATATAACAGCGAAATGACTCTAATGCTAAATAGGGCGCCACCAGGATTATTTTCTCGGTTCCTGGAACCGGATGCCAGAGCTGAGTTTCTTATTCTACAGGGAGAGAGAGAGAGAAAGGTGGTCTGAAATAATTAAATCTTTATTTAACAATTGGCCAAAATTTATTAACAATAAAATCACAACTCGTACACTTGTACGTACTCCCAACTCACTTACACTACTCACTTACAACTACGACTTATGACTACGATTTTCTTACTTCACGCTTCCCACCGGGAAGTCGCTACTACAACTTATAACTACTGGAGGATTTCGGGCTGGAACCGGCTACTCCGACTTAGAACTACTTATCAATAAGACACCTCGTACAAAGACTGCAGTGCACGAGGGCTTATCAATAACGCCTTGCTACAGAAGCAACAGCCTAATGACTGCAACATAAGCCAAGAAGCCTCTGCAGCTCTCTCACACACATACCCCTTACGTCGCGCTGTCCACCGGACCCTCACGCTCTACGCCAGAGAAACACCTCGCAACGGACTGCACGACTGCGAAGGAACTCTGGTAGCACTCACACACACATACCCCACACGTCTCACACACACACCGACTCTACTTTACTAATTTATTTCCGGATTTACAACAATTAACTCCGAAAAATGTCAACTTTAGATTCTGATTAAAACTTATCAGTCATTAGCTCGCAAAATAAAAACTCTATACTTTATCTTCACAAATTAAACAAATTTACTTCTTAAAATTTCCGGCTTAAACCGACGCTTCTTTCCTTCCAAATTTAACACGAGCTTATCTCTACGCATTAACAAATTCTTAGAATATTCTTTTGTAATTTTAACTAAATTTTTCTCGGATTTAATCCACACGAATAAATAGTTTTTATAAATGATTTTACCGGAATAACAATACTAAATTATTGACAAATTTTTACAAGACATTTTCAATATAAGACTCCCCAAGCAGAAATTGGCTATTAAATTAGATAACAATTTATAATTTTACTAAATGTAAAAAAATTACATGCCTCAATTTTTCCTGCGGGTGTATCGGTCTTATTTGCGTCGAAATTTAATAAATCAATTCTCGATAATTAATAACACGTGGGATAATAAATTTCTAGTACTTTACGAATGACGATTAGATTATAAATAATGCACCTCAGTGTGAAAATGTAATCTCAAAAAATTATCCACGGTCTTAAATTTCGAAATGCGACGCAGTTTTCTCAATACATCAATTCCGGTAATTAAAATTGTTCCGAATAAATAATTAGATAATTTTCCACAATTAATAAATAAAATAAAATAATTCAGTGGTAATTCAATCGTTAAAAATTATAACATTTGTCCAGGTATTCATTTCATAAATCTACGGCGTCACCAATTCTTAAGGAATGTGCGCTCAAAATGGACGCCGTTACTGCGTAGTTAGCTTAACCTCGGGTACCGAGAGACGCTTGACTGGTCGTGAGCTATGACTGGAATATTTTCTCGATATTCAGAAAATTATAATTGTTAATGAAAAATGAATTCATTAATTCCAATCAAAGGTGCTAATTATTATTAACCTGCAGAATTGATAATTTAGATACTCACGACCAAACCCAGGAGGTCTGGAACATTCCTCGGGTGTAACAATCGCCTGGAGGAATTGTTCTCAAAGCTAACAAAATTAATTTAATTCAAATAGTTAAATTATTATTGAATAGAATATTATAAGACGAATTGAATTACCATTAATTTAATAAATGAGAAGTAGTATGGAAATTGAGCCGGGTGTGACCCCCAAGGCTCAACACTACCAAAGTCCAATACCTGGCGTCAATTGGTTTGAAGGAACTCTTTGGTTGCTAATGGCTTCCTCCTTGGACTCCTCGATGTTACTTGTTTCAACACTACACCACTTCTCCCGACACAACGCACTGCTCAGCTATTTAATGGATCCCCGAAATACCCCCTCCTACTCTCTTTCTAGGGCCGAAGATCGATGCGCCAAAATGCTAGTCGACAAAGTTATCGATCTCTGGCGATTTATCGATTAAGGGTAATTTCCCCTGTTACAAACTACATCAATTTATTCAAACAAACCTATCATTCTCAATAAACTAAAACTCGGAAGTTCCCGGTCTATTAGCCTAACACGCTAGGACCAAATACTTAAACACATTAAATATTTTAAATGTAAAATTAATTAATTACCCTAAATTAATATTTTTTACATAACAGTGGAAATAATATTTATATTACAATTGATTATTTTTAAGCAAATACTTATCAATATTTTTCATTCATTTGTATCTTTTTATTACAATAATCAAATCATTAAACTTTTTATTAGAGCAAAAAAACAAATTTTATTATAACGTTGGGTCAGTAATGTGTCCTTGGAACAGAATGGTATTTGTTGCAGGATGGACAATTGCAAAAATAAACGGTCTGTCAATAATGACTGATATATATCTCGGACCTTGGAATTTTCCAGATCTTGTCATACCAACCATCCCTGTAATCACAAATTTTACGAGTTACAAACTGTCAGCATCTTCAAATAAAAAATAAAAATTATTAACAGTAATTTAAATTACCAGTAGCTGCAGCTGCCTCGCTTCCCTCTTCATTAACTTCAATGAAAGCTTTCTGAACAACTTTACTGATTGTCAGTGGTGGAGCTTCTGTTATTCCTCCAAAATCAGCCGAATTTTTAAACATGTCGGTCATTCCCATTTTCTCGAGTATCGGTTGTAGTTGAAGCGTGCTTTCTACTTTGAATTTAGGTAGTGATAACTGCAAAGGGGTTGAATGTTGATTGTCATGAAGCTCTTTGAAGTTAACTTTGTTCAATGACTCTTCAGCTTTCTTTAGACCAGTAATTTGGTTCGGCAGAATTATGAACATACTGGTTGCGTCATTATCGCTAGTTTTCTGAAATGCAAATTTTTATGGAAACACATACACAGATAATTTCAGATGAGATACTTTTTATGAATGCTTATTTAAACAACTGCGAAAGTCCTGGCCCTAATTATCACATTATCAGTAATAAATTAATAAATTACCTTGTAAGGAAGTTCAACAAAAATAGCATCGAGATCAGGAAGTGTTCCGTAATTATAGTTCTTTCGTACAAACATCATGTCAGCATCTTTAGTAGTTTTTTCATCTACATGGAACGGTATTGGTTCTGTAAGGTATTTTTCAAATTCTTCTTCCCAACCGCCTTTGAAATAAACGGCATTTACCAAAACTATTGAAGCTCCTTGAACATCATCTATGAAAATTTTAAATTGTTTAGAAAATGCTTGAAATTAAGCTCGATTTTAATGAGATAAGTAGAAAATGGATTCTACCTTCACCAAGAAGGTTCTTAATATGATCATTTGTTTGTTGTGAGCACCAATTATTGATTGTTCGGCTAGCGTCTTCTGCTTTGTTATCAAAATCCAAACTCTCTGCAGCTGAGTAAAAGTTTTTTTCAGTTATGTCTTTGAACTCTTGTTTTACATCAAAACCAATTGCGGTAAAAATTTTTTGAGCCAATTTGAGCTCCACGCTATTGATACCCTAAAATAAAGAATTTTTTTAACTCTTTCTAGAATAATTGAAGAAAAATTAATCAAGCTCACATGTAGACTGTCAAGCAACGATTGGAATCCGTTTTTACCAACGGCGTTATCTTCAGGCATACGTAAACTTGCTCGCATTTGTTTTTCCGTATTCTCTCGAGCGCCGTAAGTTGCCATTGCCAGAACTACACCGGCACTTATTGGTGAACAGATTAGATTATTCGGATTGTTCTCCGATGATTTCTAAATAGCAAATAGTAAATTTTTTGTTTAATAACCAAAAATATAAAGAATAGCTGAATCATACCTGATAAAATTCGGTAGCAAATTGGTTCATTCCATTGGAAACTGTCATTAGAGAATCCTTATTTTCCGGGCCATCTGCGATTATAGTAGCAAAATTTGAAACTACTAAAATAGCTCCAAGCCATGTTAGTTCTGAAAAACAAACAGGTTCAATTAATGTAAATATTAAAACGGTAATGTTAGATTGTATTATAGAAATTATGTTCTATTACTTACGATATCTCATTATTGATGCAGTATCTAACCTCTTAATCGATATTAGTTGCAGTTTACAAGTATGAGTTCTAGTTTTAATCTCGGCTATTTAATGTGCCATTTACGTAATGTCATATTTTGTTTTAAATGTCTATTCATTTTTTTTTCTTCATAAGGCAAAGTGTTATCAAATCGATAAGTTCAATGTCGATAAATTTTTTACATTAAACAGTAATGTAGTATTAAATTTATTTTCGTTATTATTTTCATTATAAATTTCCAGTGACATTATGCTAAACAAACATCAATAGAAGTATTATTAAAATTTTTTTCCTAATTGGAAGTTTATCCTTTTTGATTTTATTGTTACACTGAGAAAAAAATTAACTTGATTCAAGAGAAAAATTCTTGAACCAAGAAAATAATTTTAAAGAGTTTCATTGTCTTGAACCAAGACGAAAAATTCTTGAATTAAGTAAAATTTACTCAAACCAAGAAAAATTTCTTAGTTTAAGAATTTTTTTATTCAAATCAAGAAGATGAAATTCTTCAAAATTATTTATTTGATTCAAGTAAACTTTTTTTTCTGTGTAGTTGAAATTAAGGTAAAATTTTTGTTATCATCATCATAATAATTATCAGAAGATACTATAGGCTTATTGTGGCGCAACATCAATTAAATGACAATAAAAAAAAAATTACCTAGCCAAAAAAAAATGATTTAAGTCGTGTTTTTTTTTTTCTTTTTTTTTTTGTAATTATTTTAAAACATAAATTTACGAAGAAAAATAAATTATTTCATCTAAAAATTATTGTTTTTACACGACTAAATTGTTTTATGATTAAAAATACGAAATATGTTCGTATTAAACGAAGTAATAGATTATTAAAAATTTAAAGTTTTCAAGTAGTCAATAACAATCTACCATGAAACTTTTAAAAAAATAACTTTAAGAGGACTGGAAATTTGATGTAAAAAGTAAACAACTTAATTCATTGCCTGTAGAAGTATTTATTTATTCAATCAAAGAAGGACTGAATACATTTTTATGGGGAAATCATTAAATTTATTTCTGGTATAAATCAAATTGCCGATGAGTCAAATTGCCGATGTATCTTGAGCCTTATTAGTTTGAGGATCCAGAGTTGTTGTTCAATTTAGGACCGTTCATATTATTGACACTAGCATATAAAGCTTGAACTCTAGTTTTTGCATCGAACAAAAGTATGATGAATGGCTTGTCAAAAACTATTTCAGTTTGTGTGTCATCAGCTGATGATTTAAATGATGTTGAGTTTAAAAATTGGGATCGGTCCACTTGGTTTTGGGATGGGTTTGATTCATGTGCTACCATTCCATTTATTACTGTTGACACAGTAGATAGTTGGAGACTTATATCAGATAGCTTAGCTGAGGCTATTTCGAATATTTTATCAGTAGTCAATGTAGAGTTTACAAAAACACCACCAACGTTGTTATAAACTTCGCCAAGTTTGGCCTAGAAATGAAAAAAGTTATTAAGTTATAATAATAAATAGTCATAATCAAAATGTTGAAATTGAATTTGTTACCGACCTCTTTTATAATTTCTGTCATATCCAGGGAACTATTTATGTTGAAAACAGGAAGTTTGACAGATAGTGGACTATCATTGTAAGGATGGTTCAAAGGATCAAATCGTCCTATATTTTTCTCGAATGATTCAAAATTGTCTTGATCTCCAAAAGCAACAAAGTATAAGCTGAAAGCTTTGTTCTGTCAAAAAACAAAATATACACAAGTGATTAATGATACTAATTAATCATAAAAGCACATGAGCATTCAAGTGCAAAATAAAAAGAACCATTATACCTTTAGTGGTATTTCCACCCATGAAGCTTTGGAGTTATTGAGAGATCCGTGTTTCAATGTCTCATTTAGAATCAAAAATTGAGCGGATTCCTCAAAGTTGTCTTTGTTCTTGAAAACTCCGAGTTCGGGCAATAGATTGAATTTATTTTCGAATTCGAGGTCTGAGTAACCAATGTATTGTTGAACTAGTCCAGCGTTCTTGACGTCATCTGTTACCATTTAAAAAGTTTGACTATAAACTCTGCATACTATTTACTGATTACTATTCTAGAATCTCAATATTTTTAAAGATAAAAATACTTGCCATGTTGCAAGAAGTTGTTAATGAATCCATTCGTGTGATTGTAGATAAATTGGTTGAATTCCTCAACAAACTGTAAAGCGTTAAAGTCGACCGATTGAGGTTCTATCGACTTGAAGTCATCTTTTGCAATATCTAGGAAGTTTTGCTTCAGGGTCAGGCCTTGTTGGTAGTACAAGTTATTGAAGAATCTTACTTTGTCACTCTGAGCGTACTGTAATACAAAATATCCTTATGTATAATACGATCATTATGGAAAATTTCGCTGCGATAATAAATGTGGATCTTACGTATAAATTAAGGATAATTTTATGAATAAATTGTTTGCTTAGGTCAATGTCAAATGTGAATTGGTAAGATGCATTAATGTTATTCTTAAAATCAGCATTCGTGGAATAAAACAACTCAGCTAGCGGAAGTAGAAGGTTTAATGAAGCTAATATCACGTTATTTGAATGATTCTCAGCAGTAGCGGCCTAACCTTTCAAAGGTATAAATTAGTTGCATCAATGTAAACAGTAAGAAATTAATGTTACAGTTTTTGAGAATCTTTTCTTACGTTGTACATAGCATTCGAGACAAGGTTCATCATGTAAACAACTCTTTGAGTAGCAAGTTGGTCGACCTGGTTAGATTGGTTCGATTCAACCGCTGCTGGCAAAGAGCTCGGTATACTCAAAGCCAATAACATGGCTCCGAAGAAAACACCTGAGATCAGCAATTATTTTTAAAACATCAGACACAGAAATCAAATTTTGCAATCATAATTAAGCTTAATAAAAGTGAAGTATTTCAAAAGTACTTACAAATCTTCATTTTCGCTTGGTTGCTGCAGTCAATTGGAGTCAATTCACAAACTTCAACGGTGGATTGATGTGATTTTGCAGTTTCAGCCAGGATTTATATATGAATTCAAAAAGTGCTTCAGACTACTTTTAGGATACTCCCCAAAATTTGACACGCCCCAATTTAGAAAAAACTGTTAATATTTTAGGATTTTGGGTTTTTGATTCGTGGAGATTAATCTGCTGGTTCTCCACTCGCATCTTTTTTTACATGGACGCTTGCAATTGGGTCTTGCTTTTTTGTCTAGAACTTGAGATAACAAAATAAAGGTAATTGTTACTAATACAATTATAAACCAGAAGATTAACTTGTTGATAAATTTTTGTCATTTGCTTCGAATGAACAAAAATTGTGAAATCGATGTCAGCAAAATTACTTTCGTTAGTATACGTGGCAATTACAAAATCATTTAGTTAATTACTTTTTTATTGTAAAAAAATTATTTGTCTCCGCTATTTTTATTTTTAAAAAAATAGAGATAAGTTTATGAAAAAAACATGTTTAATAACTATCAAAATTATGTTGTCCAACTATCAAATTATTGTTGTCATAAAATTCATCATTTTTCGATTCAATTTGATGATTATACAATGCGGTTCAAATGAAAAATCTTTTTTAAGGTTCCAATTGATTTTTTTTGTACGGAAATCGTACATGTAATATTATTATTTATTATCCTTGAGCTTTCAAGTCTAATGGAAAATTAACTAGCGATAGCTGTAACATACATCTTGATATACATCATCAATAACGTATTTTTTCTTAATGTAGGAATTTTTTAAATGCATTTATAATAGCTTATTTTGGATAGCCATCAATAATTTATAATGAATTTGTATACCGATATTTTAATTAGTATATTTTCGAAATCCATGTAAAAAAATTCGACATTTATGCGGAAAAAAAGTAGATTGAAAAAAAATTTGTTTTTTTCTAAAAAATTTCTAAAAATTAGGTTAATTTGCTTCTAAGTCATTTATTACTATTCCCAAGAAATCTAGGTTCAAGTGTAGGTCTTCTTGATTGAAGATATCGGTCTCAATCTTAAATTTGTCCTTTGGAAGTTTCTGAAAAGCAAAATAGGTCCTCACATAAAGTATTGATTACCCTTAGAAAGCCTATTTTGAAACTAGAACTCGATCTTACGGTCATGTTGTGGATGAGCTGATGAAGTACATCTTTGCCTACGAGGTTATCAGTCGGAATGTATAAAGATGCGTTTAATTGTTGATGAATGATAGGGTTGGCTCCAAAATACAACATTGCAAGTAAAATGTCAAGGCTGAAGGGACAGAAAGCTATATTATTTAATTCGTTTCTTGCTGCAACCTGAAATTTCAATAACAAGAATGACGTTTGTAAGTAGGATACTTTCGCTGAATTGTCTCTGAAATTTTTTTCTTACGTTTAAAATATGACCGTTAACATAGTTGATAATTGAAACAAGTTGATGCAGTAAGGTCGGTTCGATTGGCTTAAATTCATGCGAGCTTGAGTTTTGAACTTCTGATTGAACTGCTGCTGACCATGAGCCTGGTGCAATCAAAGCTGATACTACGATACCGAAGAAAACACCTAGGGTAGCTGATCAATGACAAAATTGTTGAATTTCAATTTAATATTCATATTATGGTGTCTTAGAAATAAATTGTTTTAAAAGTACTTAAAGATATTCATTTTAATCACGTTAATTTGAGCTTATTAACGACCTCCAACAAGACAATTAATGTCAGTCTATAATTTAAGCGCAACGTTTATATATCAATTAAAAAATCCCTAAGGAAAATTTAAACTAGTTCACTTTTTGTATATGCCAATCCCTGAAAAAAGAATTTTTTTTCATTCGATTTCGGTCTTCTGATTCGCAAAAGATAAAACTGACAATTCCCCACTTTTATAATTAATTGCACATGAAATGGAGCTGATCGCATATAAACATTTTTTTCTAATGATAAAATTATTCTATTAATAAATCTCTACATTGATTTTACTTAAAAAAATCTTAAAATTTTTAAATATGAAAAAAAAGAAATGAAAAGTAAACTTTGCATTACTTAACAAATTTTTTTTTTATGTTTCAGGTGAGTCCATTAATTGATTCTAAAATTAAGAATAAGGTTGAATAAAAATATGGGTGAGTAAAATTAGTTTCTACATAAAAAAACAATTACAAATTATCGCTGTTGGATTTATTTTTAACTTTAAGAAATCGATAGCAATCAAATAAATTATAAAACGTTTATAGTTATCATGACATCACGGAATTTTTTCGTTAATTACTTTGTTATTGTAAAAAAGTTTTTAAAAAAAACAACCTATTTTTTTTTTTTTATTAGATTCAATATGCAAAAATAAAAAAAAAAGCTTAACTTACATGAAAAAATATTTGTTATCGTTATCAAACTTATCGTTTTACAAAAAATTATTGCTTTTTTTTTTTCTTAATTTGTTTAAAGTCGCATAAACTACTAAGGTCATGAGCGACTACGGTAGGGGGTAAACTTTTGAGATTGGAACTCGTTTTATTTCTTGGGCTGAGCAGTATAATACACTTAAATATTGAAAATATTCATTGGTGTACGCCGGACTCGAACCCGGTCCAATGCTTTGGTAAGCAAGGGCCGGATCCGATAGGCTACTGCGCGCCTAGAAAATTATTGCTTTGTCATACGGTTAACATAAAAAAAAATATCTTCAAGGCTGAAGCAATATCTTTCTAATGTAATTATTATTTTTCGGTTTCAAAAAAATCACAAAAATGTAATAATTATTTTTTTGTATTTTATTTTACTATGCATTATTCAATAGTTATTACAGATTTCCAAATTTATAGAAACTGTCACATTTTATCATCTTTTAGAATTATTCAAAATTTTGGTTCTTAGAAAATTTTGAAGATGATGCAAATGAAATCATACTGCAGTGGGGTCCATAACACGACCAACAAACAATATCCATTTCAATCTTTCCATAGAAATAACTACCAGGAATGGTCTGTTTACAATGAAAACTGGACTTGCTTCTCTTGATTCCATTGTCATTCCTAAATTAAATGAATATTGATATAAAAATTGGTTTTGACAAAAAATTCAACAAAAATTTTGGGCTACCTGAAGCAACAGCGGCTTCACTACCCTCTTCGTTGACTTCAATGACAACTTTCTGAACGATTTTATTAACTTTCATCCCAGAATTCTCGGTCATATTTTGGAAATTAGCCGTGTTCTCAAACATATCATTAATCCCTATCTTTAAACACATATAAATAAAAATATCACCAAATCAAAGTAATCAAATAAAAAATTCAAATTTTATAGTTACTTCTTTTAGAATCGGTTTTAGATCAAATTCGCTCTCGATTTTGAACTTTGGCAAACGCAAAGCAACCTTGCTTGTAGATCCGCTATACTTAATCGTAGGTAATTTGCTAATATTTCTCTCAACATCTCTAATGTCGACTCCCAGGTTTGGAAGGATGATCGTCATCTTGATCGCCGGATTTGTTTGATTGCCATATGGAAGCTCAATAAAACCAGACTTTAAACCAAGAATGTAGCCCCATTGGAATTCAGCGTCTATATACATCATCGGTACATTTTTTGATGATTCTTTACGACCATTAACATAAAAAGGATATGGTTGCGTATACCGAGTGTCGAACTTATTAGTCCAACTGCCTTTGAAGTAAATGGCATTAGCTAACAACATTTTTGCGTTTTCAATATCACCTGGGATTGAAAATTTTCAAATCAATAAAATTAATAATCAATAACCCTGAACTGATGCTTATCGAAAATTTCAAACTTACTGGGCTCGTATAAATTCTTTATATGATTTTCAGTTTCCTTCGCATACCAACGATTAATATCTTCAGCAGCTTTTTCTGGTCTTGTTGAATCAATTAAGGATGTATCTGATTTAAAAAACCACGTCATTTTATCCCCAAAGCTGTTCTTTAGTACCGACGTTTGTGATACGAAAATTTTATTGGCGAATTTAAGCTTGACCCCTTCGACGTTCTATCATTAAAACTAAATGTAGTTGACTTCCGAGTGTATTGTCAAAATAATAGACGTAAAACTTACGAGTAGAAGATAAATAAGTTCTCGGTATCCTTCTGCTGCATTATTCTTATCACAAGACATCCGCAAAGATGAACTCAGTTGCCGAGAAGTCTTCCCACTTGCGCCCAAATTTACCATGGTCAGTATGGCGTGCAAACTAAGTGGCGAAAAAATCAGATTACCTTCTTCATGTTTCGCTAGAATCTAAAAAATATCCATGCTCAACAATTGAAAATTTTTTTTCTTTACAATATTAGAAATTTGGGGTCTTACTTCATAAATATCACCGAGAAATCTATCAATCATTGTGGAAACAAATCGCTGAGGATATTTTATAGATTTTGATACAATACATTTTGAATAGGAATTGGGGATAGTTAAAACCACTATTGTGGCGATTAACATCAATTCTAGAATCAATTTAATGTTGTGATTAATTATTGATGATGATTTTATAATTAATTATTCCAACTATACTTACTTATCATCATATTGAGTGCGATAGTTTTAACGAATACAAATCAACTGAAATAAAGTTTCACCGTTTTTCCAAATAAGTATTTTTTTTTAAGTCGCGTTATATTCCTATTGGTCAAAAACAACTTAGTTCTTTTGTATAATCTATGATTCATAGTTAATCATTATTGTTTACGTAAAAAGAATCGTGTTGAGATAGCAAATTTTTAACGATTTAACATATATTTATCACTTATAAGATTGTCGACGAAGGAAATATTTTTTGTGAAAATCAAAGAAAGAACAGAAAATTTTCATGGTAGTTTTTTAATGCTTCAAAAACTATATTATACATTTTTCAAAATCATATTAATGGTCATTAATTGATAATGTCTCAAAAAATATAAGTTACATTAACGAATTAGATGGTAGGATCGATGACACGACCAATAAACAAAGGTGTTCTAGTGCTTTTCTTGACAATTACATACATAAATGGACTATTGACTTTACATTCTTCTATTACAGACAAAGTTACAGCTCCATATCCTAAAAAATAAACACACTTGTGATAATTCATTATGATGATATGAATAATTGAAATGTAGATTCAAATCTTATAACAAAGAATCTCTTTGTCGTTCAGCTACTCTGAGAAAAAAGTACTACTCTTGAGAAAATTTTCTTGTCACAAGAATTCTTAATAATTTTCAAGGATATATTTTCTTGTCTTAAGAATTGATCGAATTATTTTTTGTTTAATTCAAGTCAACCTATTCGTTTGTTAATTTATCAAAATTAATGATAATATTTTATTATCATGATAGATATTGATATTGTTTTGTCAAAAAACCAAAATTTGTCTTTAACGATTCTTGAGCCAAGAAATTTTTTTCTGGACAAAAAAATTTTTTTTTCTCAGTGTATATGGTTGTTACATGACTTTTGAAAAAAAATGTTTGATTACCTGTAACAGCAGCGGCTTCAGAACCTTCTTCGTTTACTTCGATAAATGCTTTTTGAATAAACTTGTTAACCTTCAAGTCGGTATTGGCGGTAATCATACCACTAAGATCAGCCTTATTTTCAAAAATTTCGTTCATACCCATCTTAATGTTAAAAAAGAGCTTAGTAAAAAATTGTTAAACGAGTAACTGTAATGTTGATAATTACATTTATTATAGTAGGTTCCAGATCTATTTTGCTTTTGATTTTGAATTTAGGTAAAGACAAATTAATATTGTCTTCATACTCATCAAGTTCAGCGTAATTCAATTTGTGAATATTATTCTCAAGGTCACGAAGTCCACTAATTTGGTCGGGATGGAAAATGTACATGCTGATTGCCTCGTTTTTGTTGGTACTCTGTTAAAAAACATCATAATGAGTACACAAAAAAATAAATTGTAATAATTAACTTTGATCAGCTACAATCTCGTATGGAAGTTCAATATAACGAGCTCCTCCTAATGAATCAGGTAGATAACCATAATTGTAAGCACCATATCTGCGCATCATGGGGACTTCTTTTGTGGTTTTGTCGTCAATATAAAAGGGCAACAATTGAGTTCTTTCTGGATTGAATTCGTGAGCCCATTTCCCTTTGAAATAGAGTGCGTTAACCAATACCAATAAAGCGCCCTCAATTTCACCTAAAATTGATAAGTTTAATCTCAAATTTATTCAAAATTTATCTTTTTCACAAGTCAAAACTTACCAGGTGTGAATAATTCAGTTATACGGTTGTTTGTTTTCTCTGCGGACCAATCGTTAATAGTTTTGGCAGCTACATCAGCATTCGTGAAATTAATGTTGTGTGTTTCGGATTTAAAAAGCACTCTCATTGTGTTATAAAAATCATATTGCAACGAAGTTCCACTGTCAACGTAAATGTTGTTTGCTAGTTTTAGTTCCACTCCTTGGACGAACTACAATGTAATCAGAAAAAAAAAAGTTTGGAAAATCCAAATGAGCATGCCTTAAGCGCTCATGTCATACATAAATTATTTAGATCATAACAAAAATTATTCGTTTTTAATTTGAATTTTCCCGCGAGTAGTATTATCCCCTCTGTAGGTCGAGCTAAAGAAAAATTTTAGCAGATGATAAAACAGTTAGTAATTATACCATGTATGTATAGTTTCTGCTAGTTTATCGTTATTTCAATTATGTTTATGAAAAATAATATACATGGCTGCCGAAATCGCAGAAAGTCACCGAACTGACAATCGAAAAAAATTAACTGTATCGAAACGGAATTATTTTGACACGCAATTTTCACAAGGGTTTTGATAAACTTCCTCAGGAATAAAACAAAAAAAAATTAAATCGTGAAAGTGATTTTTAATAAAGTTGTGGTGTTATCAAGCCCAGTGCTCCCGTGAATACCACGCTCTTATTCATTTAATTCATCAGAAAAAAGAGTTTTTTCTGAGAAATCTTATTTAATCGATAAGAAAATTTTTTTAACGTGTTCTGTAGTTACTATTATTTATTTCAATATGCTTTTTATCTATAATTTTTTTCGTTTAAATTATGAAAGGCATGCAATAATAATAAGTTTCATTAAGACAGAAAAAATCTTACATTGAGTGATCTGATAAGCATATACAATCCTAATTTCGTGATATTCTCATTATCGGATAAATTTAAAGACGATTTTATCTGCTTTAAAGTATTTCCTCGTGCCCCAAAACTGGTCATAGACAATACAATATCGACGCCGATTGGAGAACATATTAGGTTACTTTCTGTTCCAATTGATACGGCCTGAAAAAATAATTATACAATAAAATTTGATTCAATATTCGCAGATGGCTTTAAATAATGGTCCTCACTTTGTAGAATTTGTGTGTGAAATCATTAACTGCCGAGGAAACAGTTCTGAAAGCCGATTCTTCAATCGTCATCTTATGTCCTGATACACACAAAACTGACGCTACAGCAATCAGCAAAATATCTGGAATTGTTAGTTAATTAAAAAAAAAGTTGGGTAAATTCAAATGTGCATGCCTTAAGCGTCCATGTTATACGTAAGTTTATCAAAGTAGTTTAAATAAAATAAAAATAACAAAATGACAATGTGAAAACAATTTAAAAGTTATCGCAGAAAATTTACTTTTAATGTTTGTTCGAATTTTTCCGTAAGTAGAAACGATTCCAAATATTAATTTTAAGGTGTATAAAGTTTGAATTCTATTTAAAGTACTTACCAATCTTCATTTTTGATTGTTATTTGCTGTCCAAAATTGACTTAATTTTTTAAATCGAATAACTAAAGACTAACTTCTCGTTAGACTCTAATGTTTTAATATCGAGAAATCGACCACCTTTTATTCAATACAGGTCGGTGCTAAGTTTCCCCCCTCGTGGGTCATTTTTTTTATGTGGATGTTAACGATTGGAATTTTTAACTTCCCGCTAAAAATCTCAGATTTTCAAAAATCGGGAAGTTATTGTTTTCACCCCGTTTTACAAAAATCGAGTTTTCATCAAATCTCGACCTTTGAAGGTCACAGGAAGCTTCCTTGACTATTTTTACGATGATGTCCGTACGTCTGTGTGTGTGTGTGTGTGTGTGTGTAAACCTCTTGTAACTTTTAAACGGCTTGACCGATTTGATCGCGGTTGGCACCATTCGAAAGGGCTTGCCCAGGCTTAGATTTCCTGAAAATTTGAACCGATTCGGACCGGTAGATTTCGAGAAAATGCAAAAAAAGTGAAAAAAAAGTTGTTTTTTTTTTTTAATTTTTTTAAAATATCTCCGAATTGGCTGAACCGATCGGTCTCAAAATCTAATCAGCTCTTAACCTTGAAAACCCCCATCGATCGCCATCAAAAACGTTAGAATCGGTTGATGCGTTCGTGAGATATCGTTGTCGAAAAAAATCGAAAAAAGTGTTTTTTTGTAATAACATCGAAATTCATGGCTCGATCGATTTAAACTTGAAAATTTTTCATGGAGCTTCAGAAACTGCGTCGATTGCCGCCAACCGCGTGAAAATCGGTTCATTCATTCAAAAGTTATTGCCGTTTGAAAATTCAAAAAATTGTGTGTTTAAACTGCTATTAGAGTTTTGAGCTCGAAGAGCTCAAATTGACACAAAAACAATATTTTTGAGCTCAAAGAGCTCAAAAACGTAATGTGTAGTTTGAAGCGTTTAGGTACAAAATGAGCGGGAAGTTGCAGGGATGGCCTTTAGGGTGAACCGTTTTTCTAATTTTTTTTTATGTTCCAACTATTTTATATTAATAAATAAAGTAGCGTTGGTATCATTCTTATCGTGTGTGATTCATACGATGATGTCAATATGGCATTAGTCATGACATACTTTGATCAACTAATTACTTTTTCTATTAATTGTTGATCAAAAGATTCAAAAATTATCATTTTTTTATTTATTGACAAGCCTGTTTCGTGTTAAAAGTATTAGTCGTGTAATATTATTATTTTATTAAAAAAAGAGAGTAATAGTTTTTAAAAATTTTATTTTTTTAATTTCTTGTCCAATATTATTTCAAACATTTTGAAAATTAATCAAATTAAAATTTCGACGAATGTTTCTGAAAGCCGGACATTATATTAAATATCATTATATTACATAAAACATTATTATAAAAACGATGTTCGCAGTATGTTATTTTATAGAGCAATGAACTATTTCAAAATATTTAATAGCTTGCTATCGTTATTAAATCTTCTTTTCTTAATTGAGTTATAGATCAAGATTAATTGGTAGGATCAGTTACACGAGCCACAAACAATGTAGTTACATGATTTCCCATACTTTTCTTTACAATTGCACACAAAAATGGTCTATTGACAATTATTTCCGGTGGCATAGACATAAACACGAATTCCATTCCTGAAATTTAAACATAAATATTTTCAGATATTCTATCGTTTAGTCATCGGAATGTTCTTAAAGAAAATTTATGATCACCTGTTGCTGCGGCAGCTTCAGAACCCTCTTCATTGACTTCAATAACAGCTTTCTGAATGATTTTGCTGACCCTTAACTTATTATTCTCAATAATACCACTCAGATCAGCTGTTCCGTCGAAAATATCGGTGATACCCATCTTCAAATTATTAAAACCAATTATTAGAAAAATTTTATCATGTAGCAAATGTATTTTTGATAGTTACATTTTGTAGAGTGGGTTTCAAGTCAAGTTTGCTTTCAATTTTGAATTTAGGCAAGTGCAATGCAACCTCTTCCTCGATTCCTTCAAGTTGTGTCCAATTTACTAGGTGAAGATTATTCTGAACTTCTTGAATTCCTCCACTAGTTTCGTCAGGAAGAATAACAAACATGCTGACAGCCTCATTTTTGTCGTTATTCTATCAAAAAACACTTTGATAACTGCATGATGAAATAGAATAATAAACTACAAAAAAATTTGTTTTAACCTCATATGGAAGTTCGACGTACTGAGCTTTGAGGTGAGCGATATAGCCATAATTGAATTTTCCCATTTTGTACATCATGGGTACGTCTTTTGTGGTTTTATCGTCAACTTTAAAAGGTGAAAGCCTAGTATATTCTGGATTAAATTTTTTAGCCCACTTCCCTTTGAAATAAACTGCATTAACCAATACCATTACCGTGCCTTCAATATCATCTACAATTGATAAATTTAATCTTAAATCCGTCCAAAATTTATACTTGTCAATATATTCGAAACCTACCGGGCTTGAATAATTCAGTTATACGGTTGTTTGTTTTCTCTGCAGACCAATCGTTAATAGTTTTGGCAGCTTTATTAGCATTCGAAAAATCAACGCTCTGAGTTTCGGATTCAAAGTACGTTTTTGTTATTTCACTAAAATCAGATTGCAGTGAAGCTCCTTTGTCAATGAAAATTTTGTTGGCTAATTTCAGTTCCACTCCTTGTGTGTTCTAAAACATAACCAAGAGAAAAATTAATAATCATTTTTATTTAGACAGGAAAAATCTTACATTAAGACTTTTGATAAGCTGCTGATATCCTTGTTTAGTAACAGATTTGTCGCAAGGTAAATTCAGTGATGATTCAATCTGTTTTTCAGTGTTTCCTCTTGCACCAAAATGGGCCATAGACAATACAATATCTACGCTTATTGGCGAACATATGAGGTTACCTTTTTTTTCATCACCTAGAATCTTATAAAATTTGTGCATAAATTTATCAGAAGCATCGGAAATAGCTTTGAAGCTCGGTTCATTTGCTTGAGTACAGTCTGCCAGAGCATAAGCAATAATTAAAGCCGCTATCACGCCACTGAATAGAAGTTCTGAAATTAATTCATTGATTATTTTCTTTCATTACGCTGTATGATATTCCATATTAAAAATTTAGATGAGAAAATTTAAGGTACTTACTTTTTATCATTTTAGTATCTTAATATTTCTGAACATTAAGAAATGATCGGCTAAATTTTAGCTATTATGAAACAAAGCAGATTGATGTCATTACTTATATGAGCGTCTCGTTTATCAAAGATTATCGATAATTCTAATTTTTTATACTTGTAAGTTCACTAGATCAACCTTATTTTTTTTTCTTTATTTTGTTGACATTATTTAGTTTTTTTTCTTCATTTTTTATTTTAATTGATCGATAATATAATTAATAATAAGTAGATTATTGATACTCATTAAAGTCGTTCTTTGTTGTGATAAAAAAAGAATCTACGCCAAAAAAGTTTTTCATTGTTGCAGAGTATAAAAAAATAAATATTAATGTTGAATCCTATCGTAAAATTAATGGTAATTATTAGGTATTTGTCTCTCAAATGAAGAATTAATAAATCATTACTTTACTTCATGATTAATTATTTACTTTTTTATTAAATGTACTAAAGAAGATAGTTGTTAATAAGTAATTGCAATTAAATATTAAAAACATCTCTAATATACATTTTTTGAAATATAGGTAAGTCAAGCCATGTGAGTCGGTAATTACATTGATGCATATAGCATTCTTAGTTTGAGGATTTTTTTAACTTTTTAAGTGCTTAAATTTTGATGGTTGTGTAATCTGGGTAATATACACCAGCAAGGGCCAGCAAAAGTCCTGTTATCTCATCTTTTATAACCACTGCGAATGGTCTGTCGATACGGAACTCGATAGGTAATGCATTAGCTGGTGAATTATCGTTCGATGATTCTTCTTCTGATTCGTCGTTTGTTTCGTCAGATGACTGGTTGGATTCGTTAATTTCAATAGTTAATTTGTCAGATGTTTCGTTGGATTGATCTGGTATTGGGTTGGATTCGTCAGGTTTGGATTCGTTTGATTGTAATTCATTATTTTGGTCCGATGATACTCTTGTTCCTACAGCTTTACCAACAATATCTGTTTTTTAAATAAACAACAAAATTAGATTTTTCTTTCATAAAGTCACTATCATAATGTTTCATATTAATGAATTAATTAATTACTTGAAGCAAAGGAAAATTGAATTCTTTCTTCTGAGATTAGGAGGTGTGATGCGCTGGATAAGTGGCTGATCCTGAAGTTACCATTTTCGGAAACATTCGTGAAGTTGGCGCTACTTCTGTGGAATGACGCTTTCAGTCCAATCTTTATCAAAAGAAAACATTGATATAATATTATTCATATTAATCAGTTGATTCGTAAAATAAACAAGCTAAATTACGACAGTAACCTTTTCCATAGATTGTTTCAATTCCTCCAGGTAGCTTGATAGTTTGACCTTAGGTAGTCCTAAAATAATTTTACCAATATGTCCATTAAGTTCAGCCTGTTTCGTTCAAAAAATATTCCTTAAGACCTCCCAAAAGTGTATAAATATCGATGTATTTATTACAACTCATACAATATCAAACTTTTTTTTTTATTAAAAATTACCAATAGTTCAATTAAATTTAGTAACTACTTTTATGTTTCGATATATTTGTAAGGTCAAATGTTTCCAAATTAAAATACTTCAAAATTATCTGTTTCTTTTTTTTTTTTATCACTTGGCTATTGAAGAAAAAGTTTCGCAATTTATTTATTCTTAAGATTCGTCAAATTTGAATTTAGAATCAGGGTTTTTTTATTTGAATCCACAATTTAACTATAATATAATTTGTAAGAATAAAAAACATAGCTAATTTTTGAGCATCTCAATTAATACTTTGTTTATTTTTTCTTGTTTCAGGTAAGTGTGAACCACTAAAACTAGACTATACTTTAAAAAATAATGATTCTAAGTTTCTTAAATTGCTTCAAATAGGTGAGTCAAAAAATTAATAACTAAAATTACTTATTATTTAAATGAATCAATTATTCAGGAATAAACAAGAGATCTTTGTTTTAAAAATAACTTTTTTATTACTCAAAAAGTATAATAAAATTTTTATTATCAATATTCAGTTTGGAAGAGTGACATGTCCTTGAAAAAGCACTGTTTTGCTGCTTCTACAGACAATTGCATAAACAAAAGGCCTATCAAATTTAATAATTTTCCAACGTGGTTGTAGACTAAGTTTTCTAATTCCCACCTCAATTCCTAAAAAGATAATTCAGTGCAAAAAATTAATAGCATTACAAAAATGACTTAGCAGGCATTGAAAAATTCACACGACCACTGAAAAGTTTGGTTTGAGAATTTTTCTTCACAATCACATACAAAAATGGCCTATTAACATTGATTTGCGGTGGTAATGACAAAGTGACAAATCCGGCGCCTGAAATCAAAGAACAGTTTTACAGCAACTACACAAAGCATTTTTGAATTCACGATCATGTGTGTGTATGTGATTCCCGTGTTAGTTGTATTAGGCCTCAGGGCTGATTATTCGTGCGCTAAAAAGTACTGTTCCAGTGGTTTTTGATACTATCTTTGCGATAAATGGAGTGTTAATCAGAAATTCAAGTGGTGCTGATACTGGCATAGGACCCAAACCTGCAATTAAATCAACCAACCAATTTGAATATTTGTTTTGATTAGTCTATTTACTAAAAGTTTCGTTAGTTGTGTCTGAACTAAAATTACGATTAAGTCAATGGCAAATCAAACCACAATATTAGTCGACATACTCTGATGGAAATTCTAAATGTTAATTTTAAATTTTTGACGAAATGTTTCAATTCCTTTGTTATCTATAGTTAACAAATGAGAAAAAAACTCTCATGAGTCATTACTAATAATGAAAAGAACGCGACACGATGATAAGCTTCTCCAAAAAAATGTATCGAATTCGATTTCGATGTCTAATGATTCTATAAATCGTTGACAACCATGCACAAAAAATAATTTTTTACTTTAAACTGGACTGCTTATGTGCCCTTGAAATAGAACTGTGTTGCTACTTCGGTGGATAATTGTATAAATAAAAGATCTGTTTATTTCAAAAATCTCCGGGTGTTGTGGTGGTCCCGGTCGTCCAGATTCGTTCATAAGAATTCCTAAAGTGTAGTAACAATTAAAAGTATAAAATCATTGCTGTGTAAAAGAAAATAGAAGTAAAGTAGATGTTTAAAGGAAATTGGAGATTTGTTGTTCAGCAATGAGCAATCAAGCACATGATGAAAATGCAGATAATGATAATGTGATGATAATTTACCCGTAATCGCAGCTGCTTCACTTCCTTCTTCGTTTACTTCGATGTAAGATTTTTGAACAATCTTATTCACTTTGACGAGAGGGCCTTTAAGCATACCTGGCAAATCGGCGGTGTTTTCGAAGATCTCGGTCATACCCATCTTCAAGTGAAACAATTGTTAATAATGATAATAAGAAGAAGAATTTAAACTATTTTGATTGATAAAAACCTCTTGCAAAGTTAATTTCAAGTCAAATAAGCTTTTGATTTTGAATTTTGGCATGGAGAGGCTGACATAGCTTGTATGACCAGATAATTGAGCGAAATTTATCTTTTCCATATTGTCTTCAAGCTTTGATAGCCCGTTGATTTCATCGGGAAGAATTATGAACATACTTAATGCTTCTTCAGAATTTTCGCTCTACAATGAATAAATTTTCATCAAAAAATACGATTCGACATCATTTAAATTTAGAATTTTCAGACATGAAAATTTGTTGTCAAGTCTCTGAATATTTACCTCGTAAGGAAGCTCAATAAATTGAGCGTTAAGTTCGCGTATTCTACCCCAATAGAAGCTTCCATGTCTCTGCATCATTGACACATTCTTCCAATTTCTCTCGTCAATGTAAAAAGGCGCGAATTTTGTTAACTCAGGATTGAATTTATTCGCCCACTTGCCTTTGAAGTAAACTGCGTTAACTAATACCACTGCCACATCTCGAAGATCGTCTGCATTAAACACAAACTTAATTAATTAATTTTTATTAAAAACTAAGTTATTAAAAACTGAAGCGTACCAGCCTTAAAAATTTCGGTAATACGATTGTTTGTTTTATTCGCAGACCAATTGTTAATTATCTTCGCAGCATCTTCAGGTTTATCAAAATCCACAGGTTGAGTTTTTGATTTAAAGTGTTTTATCATAATTTCTTCAAATTCCGGCTGCAGTTCGTATTTGTTTGTCGTGAATATTTTGTTAGCTAGCCTTAATTCAGCTCCTTTGACATTCTGCAACAAGGTTTATAATTTAAAGCTTTAAAGCTCACTTGTTAATTAATATTGAATCGCTTACATTCAATGAATCAATAAGTTCTTGAAATCCGCTTTTAGTGATACTTTTATCACAGGGCAAGCTTAATGCCGACTCCATTTGCTTCTCTGTAGAACCACGAGCTCCAAAAGTAGCCATTGACAAGACGACGTTGACACCAACCGGCGAACAAATGATATTTCCTGGTTCACTTTTTGCCAAAACCTGAAAAAGTTCAAAGATTTGTCAGCTTTGATATTTAAAAAGGATTTGAATAGAAAAAAAAAAAACAATTTTGCTTCGAATTTTACCTTGAAAAAATTATTGGCAAATCGATTTGCGCCATCAGAGACAGCTTTGAGAGCGGGCTCATCGGATTGAACGCATTGGGCCTGTGTATTTATAACACTCACTGCTATTATCAACGCGCTGAATAATTCTGCAAAATAAATTCAAATTTAGTTATTAATTCACTAGTCCAAGTTTAAAAAATTCTAATTTAATAACTTGTTAAAAATGTATTATAAAATGATTTAAACAATCAAAAGTAATAAACAATTTAAAACGTAATTCCAAAAAACAAACTCTAATAAATTCAATTTTCAAATTTTTTTATGTCAAATAAAAATTCGCTTCAATTTTAACTATTGAAACAATTAAAACTATTAAAATGGCATTGAAAAATATTTTTTCAATCATTTAAATTTGAATAGAAATAATTGATGATAATTATCGACCACAAACTACTCACGTAAAATCATATTGAAACTTGTAACAACAAAATATATAATAAAAGATCTTCACTTCTCAACAAACAAGAACCGAATGAGATGCTTAAACGCGTCCGCCGAGTATTTAAATGACCAACCGATTTGAATAACGATAATGTTTACTCGCAGCGATTAACGTTAAATGGACGAAACATGTCCTGCAAGATGGCTATCCCCAACTTGGGACAGAGATTCAGCCTTGTATTAATCTTAATATCATTATCCGCGTTCTTTATATCAAAGGTTATCGGTACCGCAGCTAGTTAAATAATATGAATAATCGTGGCTTTCCCAGCACTCTATTTCTGCTCTTTATTACTAGAGTACTTAGATTTGTCGATAAAAGCAAATTACTCTCGTTTACTGTTAATATTAGTTCTCTTAATTCGCTTACGCTGATGTCACAGTTTACTTCAATCATTTATTTTTAAATTTACACAACTCTAGAATGTAAATATAATTATATAATTCTCTCTGTCTGGCAGAACGAGTTTCTGTGATTCCCTTACTTTTATTATTATTATCATTTATTCTTTCTTATTTACCTGGCAATCATTGACAAACAAATATCCATTTATATACTTAAATAATTGCGGTCATTGACTTAATATGTTAATAAAATTAACCGCGAAATTTATTATTAAAATTTTTTGACATTGGCTAGTTTATAAAAATATTATTTTATTAATTAAATTTATTTATTTAATTTAAATAAAAAAGAAAATTTTTTTTTTAAATTACACAATCTTAACATCGTTAAAATCGCTATATCGACCGAGAAAAAGGGGGCGCCATTTGCCGACGTACCGTCGCGACGCCAAGTTCAACAACTGCGTCTCTCATGTATGTCTAGTCTACTTGAAAAGCTCGTGGTATTTCATCACTCTATTCCTCACTGTTATGTTCTCCATTCTTAACATTTTCATCCTAACTTAAAACATTGTAAAAAAAATAAAAAAATATCTTTAACAATAATAAAAATCATTATAAATTTTAAATTCAAACAAACTTCAATACAATACAAGTAAAGTGAAAAAATTTTTTGGATTATAATTTCTCAATTATTTATTTATAATTAACACCGAAACAATTTATTATTATGAACCATGTGGTGTCGCAAAAAATTGAGTACTTCAGACAGGCCAATCACACGAGGTAAACAAACACACTCATATATATTCATACTCTAAAAAAAATGTTCTTTTCTGTTTTTTATTTTACCAAAAAACATGAATTCTTCCATCAGTCAATATTTTTCTAATCAATTTTGACGTCATGTCTATTTTTAACTTAATTACTCGTCAATTTTTTTATCTTAAAAATTTTTTTTATCATCAAACAATATTAAGTGTGCTTAAAAAAGTTTAAATGGTACATACTTAAATGGACTCTAAATTGACAATTATTATGATTGAAATATCTTAGAAAAAAAAGCGGGCGCATCGATGTCGCGAAACCTCAAAAGAGCTCACAAGCGGAACGTTTAATCGAATTGCCCAGTAGTATTATTCGATCTGACACAATCACACCACTTATATTGTATCATATTATATCGCATTGTATATATTACTTGTGATTTGTGATGCAAACTAACTAAACTGGTGTACAGTGAAAGAGTAAGTGTACGAGCACTAGTACTAGAGTAAGTGCACACTGTACACCGAGTAGTAACTAAACCCACGTGTCCGACATTCATTGATTTTTGCTCCCTACCTTTCGTTTAGTTTAGTTTATTTTCTTTTTTACTCTCATTTCACATCCTCGATCCCATCATACACGATTTATCCATCGATCTGACCTCGCAACCGAGTTATTTATCGTTACCACGAAATATTTTTTACCTAACGTCAATGCCAATTGTCATTTTTTATTGTTATTAATCATTTATTTTAAAATCAATATCATTTTCAAAATATTTAAGCTTGAACAAAAAAAAATGTTTAGATTTTTTAACTCGATTTTAATTATAAGATTGAGAAGTAGCCTCGTGTGTGTTTCTTTTTAACTTTTTATTTTATGTCGGCCAGCGCCGATTAAAGAAGAATCTCGTTCTTGAAGATTGTTCCTCGTGCCAGCCAAGAATGCTAAAATTATCGCCAAGATTTTTTACTCTTTTTTTTTTTTAATAACATACAATATTATTTTTGGAGTTTATTCTCTTATTTATGATTTTTTTTTCTATTTAAATATTTTAGATAGCTGTCAAAATATTAAATGTGTCAAAAAAAATTTGAATAATTTTCAAACATTTACAAAACAAAAAAAAATAATTTCAAATAGTTGGATTGAAAAAAAAAAAAACTCACAAACATTCTAGCAATCTAAAATATTCAGTATCATAAAAAATCGATCGTAAAATAAAATAATAACCATAGTAAATACTTGTATCCTAGGGATCAAAACACAAGTCTCAATGTATAATATATAATATATGAAGCAAGCCGAAAGTTAGATTAAAATAAAAATGCCTGAGGTGAAAAATAGTGTGAAGGGAGTAGAGACATAGCCATTTATAAGTCGGCTCGTTAAATTTTCTCTTTGAAATTCTCGGCACGCCATTAAATCCTCAGTATGCCTCCTCGGCATCGAAGGTAATTGGATGAAGACATTTAACTTAAGTAATAAGACAAGACTTATTATATGGATATCATAGAGCTCTGCTTAGACAGAACACGAGTTTTGATGTTTCCAGCCTACATTACATCTATATACCATATTATATCGTTGGATAGACTTGTTTTTCGCGATAACTCCCTCAATTCCCATCTTATCACATCAATTAATTCTTCATACTTGCATATTTAATCCCCGGTAGAAAGTAGAGGATCACAGTAATAACTTATATATGTTTTCATGTTCTTTCATATCACTTACCACACTTCACTAGCCACTTTATCGTGAAATTAAAATTTTAAGAGATAATTACACCACTTTTTAAAATTGCACCTATTTATGTCAAGATTTAGTGCTAATAAGCTGAGAAAAAAAAAAGTTTGGAAAATCCAAAAGTGCACGCCTCATAATCTCATTTTTTACAATAAAATTGATTAAAATAAAATATAAAAAACAGAAAACTCTGCTATGGTTTAGTGGCGGCATAACTCTAAAGTGAGGAAAAAAATATACTACAATAAAATGTATAGATAGATATACAAAAAAATCCACAGTTATATATTAGTTTTTTATAAATAATAATTTAACGACAGTGAATTGAATGCTCATATTAATTGAGAAAGTCCGTCGTGTGTTACTTTAGATAATAAAAAAAAAAATTATTCCGATAGGATAATGCTAAACAAAAAATTGTCATTGAAATATATTTTATGTGCCTAACAAATTATTTGAATTGATATAAGTGTACTCATATTAACCTGTAAGTGCGATATAAATAACAAAAAATCAATTTCAGTTTCGAGAAAACTGCTTTTTTTGAAATGTCGAGAGTAGAGCACAATACAACCTCAACGATTCGCTTATAAGGCGTGCAATAAATAAATTGAGTCCTATCGTAAAATTAATAGTAGTTACTAGGTATTTGTCTCTGATAATGAAAAATTAAAAAATCATTTATTTTGCTTCATGATTATTTATTTACTTTTAAATTAAATGTACTAAAGAAAATAGATGTTAATTGCAGGCTTATGAGGCGTGCAATTGAGTCAAGAAAAAAATTTTGAGCCAAGAAAAATTTGTTTGAAACAAGATTATTTTTTTATCAGTGCATTTTTATATCACATCAATGATTGGGTCTCTTTAAGACTCAATATTAATTTTTTCAACTACTGATAAAGTAGTCACGAATTGACCTATACTACTGCAATCCCGTTAAACTGCAGCATAAATAAATAAATAAAATCTTACTGATAGCAATGACAAGAGAAAGAATGAAAATAAATGTGCTTGAAACTTGCTGAACAAGCAACAAATTTTTACTGAATTGAAAGAAACTATGAGGTCAGCCGATTAATCACCTATTCTGTTTCTATTAAACGTGTAAATATGTACAGCCAGGTGGTGGATATATATTTTATGTTTGCGTTAGTCGGGCGATTACGCGGATAGAGAAAGTACCGCGGGCAATTAAATTCTTAATACGGGCATTGAGATTAGATTGTCTCGGTTTTGATTGTTAATATTTTAGATAAAAATTTCGATTTATGGTTATTGGAGGTTTCATTTTTAATAAATTATATTTTCTCCGCTGTTTATGCATTGAGACGTACATAATAATATTAGCGAAATTTTAATGTTAATGATAATGAGTAGGAATTAGAGCAGTGCGATAAGTAGAGTGGAGTATCGATCTCTGGAAGAAAAGTGTCACGGCCTTCGATCGCGAGTGTCAAGGATAGGACCAACGCATTTTAGTTACTGCATTAGAATAAGGAAAAAAGATTTAGGTAATTTTTATAATTTGACATCAATTGATTGATATGAAGTAAATTTGAGATTTTATAGAATTGAACTCATTTCAAGCAATCAAATTTCATTAATTTGTGCCTAATAGATGGTTTTTTAATGATTGTAAGTATGAAACGCTAAATGGAACGTCGGTTCGTGTGGCATTTTGGCAATTCTAAATTTACTTGGATCGATCGCCTGGATTCCAAGCTCTCTTATCTTGTAGTACTATAAAATTTTATTCGTGAGTCGTGAGCTTTATGTTATTATTATATATATTATGTTTTAGACTACTGTAACTTTACTTCGGTAAAATCTAGTGATAATAATAATAATAATAATAATAATAATAATAATAACAAGCTGAATATATATTTACTGGGGAATCTAGAAGGTCAAACAAGTCCAGGTCGATACAATCGTGATCTGTCTATTTTATCTCTTTGATATTATATTTATATTTCCAGGTTACTAGAAAACCCTGTGACATGCAATCACTTAATATGTCGTAATATCGCACAATATAAAAATTATCAAACTATGTGATAGTGATAGTGATAATTATCTCTATTTTCAAACAATCGAGTATT